ATCAGGGGCCGCAGATTGTGTATCTTGACAAACCTGGACCTAAGGACCAGGTGGTAGCAAGGCCTAAGGGGGTGGTCAAATCCCCGACCTTCGAGAAAGCCAAAGAGCTGACACCGAACAAGAGATGTCGGCTTGAAGCTCTTGTTCGGGGAGAGAAAAATAATGGGCACGAGTGGCAGGTCTGCAGTGCTAAATCCAACCTGACTATTCGCTGTGAGAGATGTGGCCTGTATGTTGCACAAACTGATGAAATTCAACTTTTTGGCATTAAGGAACAGCAAGGTTGTGTTGGTGGGCCGGTGAAGGTACCGGGAGTGGTGGTGCATCCCTCCCACAATGTCCTGAAAATTGGCAAAGAGTGGATTTGCACCAAGTGTGGCCTGATTGCTCGAATTGCTGTGAAAGTGTACCTGTGGATTAGTAAACCTTGTGAGGGGTGCATTGGGAAAAACCAGTCCAAGGCTAAGGCTCGAACCATGGCTGAAAGAGTTGCGAATGCTTGTGCCTTGTGTGGTGTTCCACCTGTCTCTCTGCCTTTTGCTTGCATGGCCCAAGGTGAAGTAGCGCCGAAAAAGAGTAGTTGCATCACTGCCAAGGCAAAGGCCGCTGGACAGACCAAACTAAGCTTTGGCATCCCGGGGACACAAGCCAAGGAGTTGCGCGCCCTGGTTGGAGGTGCTCTGGCTGGTGTTCAACCAGCTGAGGCCTCACCAGGAGCAGCGGAAGCCTCGGCTAGCAATGGCGCCAAAGAAGCACAAAAGCCCGGCCAGCAAAGCACGAAGCAAAAAGCGGCCGGGGAAAAGGGAGAGAGCAGCGCAAAAGGCTGCGCCAAAGCCTCCCAAAAGGCAGCCCCCGCCGCCGCCGGAGGCCAGGCGAAAAGGGGCAAAGGCCGAAGTCCAGGACGAAGGGCAGGGTGAGGTGAGGTGCAACCTCCCCAGCCCGTGCCAGCAGTGGCACAGGTGCCAGAAGGGGCAGGGACAGCGGTTTCCGCCCCGCCTGCCAAGAGCGAAAGGAGAAGAAGGAGAAGAAAGAGAAGGCCACAACGACCCACCGCCACCGTCCAGTTCCTCGTCGTCTATAACCCTTAGGGAGGGCCCAGGGCGAATCCGCCCACCTCTGGCAGCCAGTGACTGGAAGCTACACCCCATGACGGATATGGAGGTGTACAGAGGAGCCACTCTGAACCCAAAAGACATGGTGAATCTGGGCAATGAGCATTTCCATTGCGGTGTGGTGGGCTTGGTTGAGGCCTTGCCTGCTCCCAACCGCTTTGTGAAGTGCCTCCCTACAGCACTGGCAGCATGGCTACCACCAAGCCTGTATGCTGGGCTGAACAGGTTTGGGGAAGGCAGAACGAGAGTGTCGTACACGATGGGCAATGCGCTGATGGTGAAATTCGGTTTTGCCCAGGACTTCGGTGAGGAAATCGAAGTTCTGAAGATCATCCCGCTGCTGGGTGTGGAGCTCTTGGGCGAGGGCACGGTGTCTGTCCGCCTCGCCCTGACCACGGAGCCCCTGGTAAATATGATGATGCCGCTGAGGTACTCCATCACAGCCAAGGTGTGCACCATGGTGGAGCATTCTCAGAACCACCAGTTTGTGGAAGGCTGGCAGGGATATGCCGCTGCTGTGATCCTGTGCCTTGCAACGAGGTTTTCTTTGAAGGACATCACGTCCTCCAATGTGGGCCTGTCCTTTCTGTCATGTGATGACAACAACCCCAACCTGGCCTTTTTTGATGTGGCTGATTGGGTGTTGAACCCAGTCGGCTCAGCATCCTGGCCGGCCAAGTACACGTGGAAAGGATGGGAAAGCCTCATGAACCAAGTGGGTGAGGAATACACCGAGAAGTACAAGCCAATCCTGCGTAGAATGGACCCGCTGGAGGCTGCCATCCAAAAGTTGCTGGATGTGTTGCCCAGCAGGATGCTGAAGAAGCTGGAGCTCCAAGACTGTGTCTCCAGAAGGGGTGGCAAGTACTACCTGGACTTCAAAATCCGGGAGCGGAGCTAGCTTTCTCGGTGCCAGCCCCGGCCTGGGATGCTGGTGGCAGTGGAGGTGTCCCTCCCTGCACCCGACCTTTGAGGTGACCTCAGAGGTAAGGGTGCTGAGCCGCGGTGAGCCGCACCTCTGCCGTAGTACACGGGTCAAGTCTAGGCTAGAAAGGGCCGCCTGTTAGCAAGCTCACCGTAGAGCTTTGGACCTTTACAGAGGCAAGATGGTGTTCCATCGGCCTGTAGCTCTGTGAAGCCTTGCTGCTCAAGAGCGTAGGTGCCTCTAGTTTTCGGACCTGTACAGAGGTTGGTGGTGCTCCACTGGCCTGGTCCTTTTCCGGCATTTTGCCGAAGGGCAGGCTACCATGGCTGTGCCAGCCGGAGGGCAAAGACCGAGGCCACAGGCCGCGCGGACAGCAGCGCTTGAAGGAAGAAGAGTCACCGACTACGCTGAGCAGATGGCACCAGGACCAACAGCCTCTTGTCCAGGAGAAAGGTAAGCTGGGCCCGCCCTCATCGTCGGTTCGCGAGTTCCTCCACCATTACCCGCCAGGATACACGAAGAACGCTTCAGAAATATCGAGATGCAAACAACTTGGCAACTCGTGGCATCTCCCTACGAGCCGTTTCTTGTTGTTCGTCATACTGCTTGCAGCTCAGGTCTGTCCAGGTTAAGTCCCAAGTGCAGCAGTTGTGGTACGACAGTGGGGCCCGAACGAGCCGCCTGCTTACCAGCTTCAAGGCCCGCCAGACAACAAGTTCAGTCACGTCGAGTGGGCGACTTCACTCTCGTGGGAAGAAGCTTTTCCGATAAACCGGAATCCATGCCTCGAGTTCGCCTTTCAACAGCAAGAGCGAATGGGATACAAGTTGGTCGCATGGCGAGAGACTGTCGTTGAGGACGTCCAGAAATGTGTCAACGAACTGGCCGAAGAGCAAGACGAGTGGCTGTCCGGAGCGCCGGTGCACGTACAGCAACTGTACCGTCAAGGACAACAAGTTCGTGGTGCAGCTCCTCGCGTTCGCCCACCTGCTCAAGTTGTTGGAATTTCCAGTACAGTCCGCCGTACGCCGGAACTCCCACAATAGTTTCAAGTGTTCGCAGAGTGGCGAGAACCGCTGAGCCAGAGCTGTCCGCAGTTGACCACGAGGGTGCCTACGGCAACTTCCCGGTCAGGTCGCCCGTGGAATGTGCCGCAATGCTTCCGGAAGAAGGCGACGAAAGAGTTTGGCTACACCAGGTCTTACTTTTCGCATCGTCTGGTTCGGTCTGGAGTTATATACGGTTCGCTGACGCAGTCTCTGCTTCTTGTCGATCGCACTACTTCTGCTGGCAGCCGCACATTTCGTTGACGACTTCTACAAGGTCGAGTCATCACTGACCTCGAGGCCAGGTTTCGAGTCGGAAGTTGCATCGAGTTTATAGGGACCAGAATCCAAGGCCAAGCCACCAGCGAGTACCCAGACTCTGCTTGGAGTAAAATGGCAAGTCACAGGTGGCACCCTGCTCGCATCTCCGGGCCGTTCGCCCCTTAACTTCGTCTGTTCGTGGGTTTTTGGACAGGCAGGGAAAGCTCTGTTGAAGCCGCTTTGTGCACGACAGCAGTAGGCCTGAACAGACCAACGTCCCTGAGCTTACCTCTGAGGTCCGCGTTGCAAGAGCTCGAGAAGCTACTGCCCGTTTTGACACCGGTTCGGATTCCGTTGAAACCGACAGATGGCCAGCTGTGTGTGTTGTATGCGGACGCATACATCAACGTACAAGGTTCTCACCGAGCGGCCAATCGGTGGCTTCGGGAAGGACTGTTCTCCAGAGCAGTTCGAACGGATGGGCAGCGATCTTTATCCCTCCGTCAGGTCGCGAACTCGCTTTTCGCTCCGAAGCGCCTCAGGAGGTCCTTAGAAGAACAGCTACATCGAAGGCTTTCATCTTCTGGCTCGAGATGCTCGCCCAAGTGTGCGCAGTGCTGACCGTTTCGGACACCGTCCAGGGGCACATACTCTGCTTCGTGGACAATTCCGCAGCTGAGCACGCGTTGCAGAAAGGCTTCTCGAAGGATGCTTCGTTCACTAAGGTCCTCGGTTGTTTCGTGAGGGTTTTGGCCGCCAAAGGAGTTGCCTTGTCGTTTAACCGGGTGAGTTCTGCAGTGAACGCCTCTGACGGAGTCTCTCGCAACGACTGGTCCACCGCAGAACGTTGTGCAGAAGAGCCGAGTTCGACTTTTCCAAGGGCTACAATCCAGAGTTTGACTCAGTCGCCAGACTCAGCTCTCTTCTCGGAGTTCGCGAAGGTCGCAGAGCACTTGGGCGTGCAAGGAGTGCGGAACAGCGCGCAGGAGTGGAGTGAGTCGCGCTGTTCGAACAGAACCAAAGACTCTTGTTCGCAGACCGGAAAACCGCACCAAGGCTCGCGGGTTAGGTGAAACGTCCGCTTCCGAGAAGTCCAAGCGAATACTTTCCCGTTGAGAGAAGCGTAGGAGTGCTTGTCCAGCCACCCAGGCTGGTGGAATTCCAGGCAGGATCTTTCAAATCCGTCCCGGGCTTCAGCTGGACACCTGATGCTCCGAATTCGGGAGATGGAATGATTCACCCGATCCGATCAAGGAACTAGCCGTAACTAGCCGCAGCCGATAGAATTCGAAGCCGAAAAACTGGGTAGGAGCACGGTTGTACTTCCTTCCCCCTGCACTCGTCTTGTTAGCCGGGAAATCATATGTGGCTCTCTGCTTGTGGTTAAATGTTGGTTCATGTGCAAGGACGTGCCAGCAGATAGGGGCTGTCGGCAGACGAGTATCACCGTGCACACTAGGTATTTAGGTGAATCGTGTATGGTGGAACAAAAACCTGCAAGGACACTGCAGATGCACGTTCGTGTGTGGGCGGTGGGGCCGGGGCCGGGGCCGGGGGGAGACTGGCTGCTCGTTCCTCAAGACCGGTAGAGAGAGAGATACAGAGGGGAGAGCGAGCGCGAGGGAATGAGAGATGGATTATCGGATTATCACACTGATGAGGAACAGCATCGATGACTGGGAGGCGTTGCAAAGCCGGCGGCACGAGTTTTCTGCTAGCTCGTGCTTCTCCGCAGGTCGTCGAGTTGCAAGCGAGCTTCATTGAAGAGAACTTGCTGTCGCAGGTCTATCATTCACACCCGAGCTGCCACGAGCATTCGCTATGTCTTGCACCGTTGACAAGACGCACATTCCGCCAGGTGGCAGTGCTTATGCCAGGACTGAGCTTCCCGATCTGGGCAGTTTCCTTGTTGACGAGAGGAAGCTTCTTCGTGCGTTGCAGCAGCAAATGGCATCAATGCTTAGGTCCATGGACAGCTCGTTGCAAAGCTACGAGTTGACGAAGCAGATTCAAACAAGCTCGACTCTCAGTTCTCGCGAGGTTCATCGCCAACCGCCGACACATACGCACAGGTCTGCCTGTTTCGTGCTGGGTCGCGACACGGCGCCTTTCTTGCAAACGCACAGACATGACAAGCCCAATTGGCGAATGGTGATTTGCTAAGGAGCTTGCGATCGAGTCGAAAAGGCGTCCGATGGATGCAGTCGAGCTCTCATTCCGCAGCACAGAAAGGAGAAACTGGCGGAAAGTAAGTGCGAGGTTCCGATCATGGGGGATGGCACCGAGACGGCAGACTTTGCCTCTTTCCGTGTTCTGTGTTTGGATGAGGACCAGCTTCAGTCCACATTTTTCAAGAGGCAGCAGGGGGCGCGAACAGTTATATGAACTTGGTCTTCGGAGCTGCTGAGCTCTCTGGGTTTCTATTCTATTCCCATTTTTTCTCTCGAACTTGCCGCGCATGATGCTGATGATACTGGGACAGTGGCATAATTCGATGTTGTGTTGTGTTCGTTTCCACGTCCATCCGCATTCGTAACACAACTGGCCCGAGGATAGGACTGGCGGTCGTAGTTTCAAGAATCGAAGGAGTCCTCGACCCCGGCGGGCAGAGTTGCCCAGGAGGAGCCATGCAGTCACATCGTGTGCTGCTTCGCTGTTGGGTGACCGTTTCGCCAGGATTTGAATGACTTCTGTGGAGGCTCTCAGAGTTGTCTTGCCTGGCTCATGCCACACGATGCCTCAACGAGAGAGAGAAGGCGCCAGCGTTTCATGCACAGCTGGGTGTTGATAGTTACCTTGCTGCGGTGCCCGGTGCCTCGTGTCTGGGAAAAGATGCCCAGTTCGGTGTGTGCAAAACAACAGAGCTTGATGCTTGAGCACCGTCATGTTGAACTAGTCGTACGATGTTGTGCTGTGCATTTACTGTTTTCCACCAGCATCTACAGTATTGTTACTATGTTGCTTCGGAAGAGTATCAGGGTTTGCGCTGCTGCTACAAGGGGTCTCAATTGGAGCTGGGTGGTGGTGCAACAGCTGAGCTGTGTGTGTGTGTGTGCGTGCTCTACTGTCGCTTCATGACTGGTGTATATATGTACATATGTAAATGTCATGTGTGATGGCTGCAAATCTTCATTTCAGGCCTGCAGCTTCTGCACCTAGTGCACACTTGCTGTGCCTTACAGCGGACGTTCAGGCTTGTCATGTCCAGGCATTGGAAAACCGTTCAGTGTTATCCTGTCAAGGTTCCGCGTGGACACATCGCCCTCAGCGCCCTTGCCTTGTGTCGAAGCTCGTGCTTTGTGCCTTGCAATGATCGCAGCAGTTGGGGTTGAAACATCCAAGGCCTGTTTGGCCACCTGGGCGTGGATTCCATGTTTCAGTGTGGTGAACGTCTGCTACTGTCACCAGGCGCGGTCGTCTGCATCCGTTTGTTCGATTGCTGGGTTGGAGTGTGACATCATTGGCAGGTGCCTGTCTTCATGCCGCACATTGAGCTGGTGCCCTGTTATCCGGAGCACTGGGTCAACAGAATCATCGCTGAATTCGTGTGTCAGTTCATATATACATGTGTATATTATGTGGGACTCGTGTAGAACTCCAACACTGTGTTAACGATAATCCGCAGAGGAAGGATAGAGAGAGAGAGAGGCCTAGCTCGCTAGCTAGTGTAGCCTTAATTTGGTCCTTTCAGCAATTTTATCAGAGAAGATTTCCGGCATAGCAAGGGAGAGGCGAAGACGTCACAGAATGTGACTAAGCGGTGAGGAGAAGCCTTGGGAGGCGACAGAGCAAGCAGTCGACGAATGCTAGAGATGTTGCAGAAAAGCAAGCTGTACGTATGAGCTGCATGGAAGCTTCATGCTAGGTCCATGGGAGTGCTTCGGGGCCCTCGGCGAATCTGGCGAGCAAGGGGGGAGTTGTATTACAGAAAGAGCTAGGGCCGGAAGAAGCAGAAATGCGGACAGGCAAACATGCATCGGTTCAAACCAAGGCACGTTCCGTGATGCTTGGGGTCAGAAGCAATTCTCATCACGTCGTCTTGGTGGCCTTGCTGGTGTTGGATAATGGCATGAGTGGGTAAATACACACTCATCAGCCCCTAATGTCACACCGATGGCGAGGTTCATTTGCCAGCTCGTCTGCAATCTGCCTGCTTTTGTACAGCGACAGCGCCGGTTAAGAAACAGTTAAATTTTCGTGAGGGGGGCTCGATTTCTCATTTTTTAAGCGCACCTTGTTTAGGAACAAAACGTTTCGGGCTTTGATGGTACCCTGGATTTCTTAACCCAAATTTCTTAATTTGCAACGGCTGCAAATAAAGAACAAAGGCAAGAAATGAAGGCACAGCAGGCTTTGAACTTCCAATTCCAGCTCATATGCTTATCCACTCGGGCGTGGCAGTCCAAGACTCCTGAAACGCCACTGTTCCATCCCATTTCTTACCAAGCTTGTAAGCAGCCCTTGCCAGAACCCCCCAAAGTAAGAAATCGAGCCCCTCAATTTCTTAAATTTAAGAAATCGAGCCCCTCAATTTCTTGTTTTGGTGTTGTTTCCTATATGGCAAAGCTTAATTTAAGCCCTTACAAAGCCTCCAAAGCCCTCCAAAGCTGTCATAAAGGCTTTATTAAGCCCTTATTAGGCAAGCCCACAACCCCAAAATGAGAATCGAGGGGCCGTGCTTCATTTCTTGGTTTGCTTTGTAGGGGTTTGGCACCGAGCTTTTGGAAACTCCCTTAGTTTTTTTGTTTTTTTCTGCGCCAACAACACCGCGAAGACAAAATGAGAAAGATAAATATAAGAAATTGGCACGCCGAGTCCAGGGTACCCTGGATTTCTTATTTTGAATGCGCGCACTATATATATATATATATATACACATGCCTATATATATATATATATAAATACATATATATATATATGTATGTATATATATATATATATACACACACACATTCTTTTGTTTTTAATCGCACGGCTGTCCGAGGGGCTCAATTTCTTAAGCCAGTGATTTCTTAAGCAGCGCTGTTGCCGTACAAACTAGACCTCTCCAACAGCTGACACCGCATTCAAGCTCAGACAAATCAAAGTATATATAGCGATTGAATGAGAATGTATTCAGTGCCGAGCATGCAAGCCACCCAGGAGCCGTTGTTGGTTCTGCTGCTCGAGAAGACGTTTGTTGGATCCGAAGACGATTTGAAGCCCTCATAAAGTCCTGCGAGGGAGTGGGAGCCCCAGTTATCGGACAGCGTGGAAAATCTTCAACCCCTGATCTTCAGCGGAAGGGCTCGAGATGCTAATGCAATTGCAGCCTAAAGTCTTTCGCAGGGAAGGTGTGACGGCCTGCAGTCCCGTCATACCTCACCTTCTCGCTCCCGCAAGCACCGCAAGCACCTCTGAATTCTTCAGTTGCCATGGAAATTGCCGTCCGGGACCGGGACCTGCAGTCTGCCTCCTCGCATCTGCCAAAATGCTTTCACGCAGAATCAGTAGATGTTTGCAGAGGCACCGGCGGCACCGGGACTCGGACCGGATCAAGGCTCGTGCAACTCGGTGGCTCGGTGGTGGAATGCAGGAGCTGGCGACGGACTTTGGGCAGGTGGTGGTTGGTGGTGAGGGATGTATATACAACTCGAACAAGCTATTTCCTTGGGCCGAGGATTGCTTACGTGAGCTCAAAGAGTGTGGTATCAGGGTGGTCATTCTGCAATCACTTGATTCTGAAGCATTCTTGACTTTGGGCTTGTGCAAAGACCTGCATTATGATGAGGCGCTCGCGAGCGAATCGGGGTCGAAGCTAGTGCAACTCCTTAAAAACATCAGGAGTGAGGGAGCGAAAACGTTGGTTGTGGGAGATACCACGCAACTCATAGAAGCTGCGACGAATGCCGGACTGGAGGCAGCTTTTGTGTGTTCTGGTAAATACAGCAGCTCATTCGGCTTGTCAGCAGCTCCTGCCATCGATGTTCCAGCAAACGGCGGTCACTTCGTGGAGCCAGAGGAGATGTTGAATAGCTGCAGATCTGTCTTCAAGGCAGCTCTTCCAACCTTTGCGATGTCTTGCTTCTCCTTTTCAGCCCCTTGCCTGCCACCGATCATCGGTTCCTCATTGTTCGTGAGGATGAGGGCTCTACCGTGGTTTTGCAGAGACCACGTTAAGACAGTTGAAAGGTGTAGGCTTTTGACTCGGTGCTCACGCTGCTAGGAATTGAGAAAACAGGGGATCACTCGAAGTTGAGAACAGCAATAGAAGAGGAGTGATTGACGGAGCAACAAGCCGATCGATCCATGTGATTCGAAGCCCAGCTTGATGCTCGACTCTTCTGGGTGGGACCACCGAAACACCTGATTCCGAGCGCCTCTGTTTTCGAAAATTTGAATGCCTTTTTTTATGCTTTTTGCAGGGAACACACACTTATCTCTTTTCAAGCTAGGCACCGGGGCAACCCTCCGAAAAGAGTCCGTGTAGGTTTGTCATCAGCGACAGAGAATCTAGGAAAGCTGTGACTTTTGATCTTGGGCAGAGACTCTGTCACCAGGAGGGCATTGCTGTGCACCTTGCATTGACATGCCGAGCTTTCCGTGATGGCTCTCAGGAACGCTTCTTTTTCAAGTTCTTTGCCAAGCGGCGTGCCATGGCACGACGGCTTCATGCCAAGCGCACAAATTCAACATGAACCCGCACTGACGGCAAGCATGAGCTCCAGATTTGCTTGACCACGATGGGTGAGATCATGCCAGTGAAAGAAGCAGACGGAAAATCAATTTTGCACAGTTCGCTCTTGCGAGATGTTTCCATGCCTGTGCTGCAGACCGGCTACTGCATGTGTGCTCTCAGATTGACTTGGCGGATGGCTCTGTCCTGAGTCTGCAAGCCGAACGACCGGGAGCGGCGGCGGGTTCCTGAGTTCGCACCGCCATCAAGTCGCACCAGGAGCTTGCAGGTCGGAAATCGCCCGTTTGAGTTGCCTTGTGATTTTGCGTACTGCATCACGAACTCCCCGGCAAAGGAGAAGGGACATGTCGTTTGCTTGTAACAGATCTGGACTTGTTTTTGTAGCTATGGACACAACCAGCTAGTTGGACCTGCCAAGTCTTGCTAGAGACCTCGGCCATACCAAAACAATGTAGGCAGGCTCGTACAGCAGGTGTGCAGCAGAGAGTGGTCTTCCATGTGGTCTGGGCAAATCGTGTGGTGAGAGCGGTGCCGCGCAAGTCACAGCGCGGCGTCCATGAACCGAACGTTGGGTGCCGTCAGGGAGAGGGCTGTTGTCCTTTTTGCTAAGGACGACGTGCCTCCAGAAGCACGAGCAACGTCCACAAGATCGTGTGCAGGCCATCCTTGTTTGAATCGATTGACGAAGTGCGAGAAGAGCTTTGGGTCGTTTGATGGCTAGGCGAGAGCAACCTGGAGGAGGCTGCATGTGCCGTGTCGCCGCACTACATTGCTTGGTCGGCAAACCTTTGCGTGTCGGACTAACAATGCTCTCGTAACAAGGTTTGATCTTGCGTTTTATTGTTCGAGGATTCACATGGCCCTACTGGAAGGCCCTCCGCCATGCCCTGCACGGCCCATGTTGCTCCCAAGAACGCGAGCCCAAAGAACTTGGAAGTAGTGAGCATGCCGGACATTGAAAACCAGGCTCCTGAGCCTCAAACCAGCGACACTGGTCTCCGTCGCGGCGGGAGAAGCCTGACCTGCATAAACCTGTCGCAACTCCAAGATCCAAATCGTTTCAGAAGACTCTGGTAGGGCTTCTGCTCAGTGGACTTGTCGCGGAATGTAGTGTATACTGAGCGAAGAAGCGAGTGGTCTTAGGGCAGGCTTGGTCTTGCAAATCAAAGATACATGATATTGCATCGCGTTGCATTCTGCCGTGGTACCCGGTAACACTGTGTGGACATCAGGATGTGACTCTGCATCGGAGCTATAATATGTATGTACAAATCTCATGCAAGTATATCCCCTTAATTTTTGGTAGCTCCACTTCCTATGTCTTATGGGAGGTCGACTTGTACGACGACCTGTCGGACATTGAGGACATCTATCAGCTGGGTCCCTACACGAGAAGTCGCCACCCAATCTTGGTCTCGTGCTGTTCGGCCGATTACTGTGTCATTATGCATCGTCTTGCTGTGGTTATTATCCTGCCTTGCAGTGAGGCGGCATGCGGAGCCTCCCATCTTTGTGGACGGTCTTGGTGTGTACGAGGCATGATCTGCCGAAAGCCGGAAGCCGTAGCAAGTGCAATTCCCCGAAAGAGGTCGGCTCTGGGATGAAGCTGGTGATATCTGCCGATCTTCGTTGTTTGGGCAATTTTGGACCAAAGCGCCTTTAGGCAAGGTTTCACGTCAAAGTGTAGATCCGAGCGATGGAGGGGGACGACAGGCTCCTGACCCCAGAGCTTGAAACCGGTGAAGTCCCCGCACGCAGCACGGCCACATCGAAGTGGGCCGCCCGGAGCCTCGCCGTCGCGGCAGCGCTCTTGCTCACTGCCTTGGCAGCTTGCGGCTTCTTCGATCATACTAGCAATGCAGAGGTCTCGAGTACCCTGGCAGAGGCAGACTTAGCTTCTACCGTCATGGAATTCGACCTCACTGGTATGAAGACAGAGAAATGTTGGCTAAACAAATCATTTTGGGTGGAAAGATCGGGAGAGTACCAGATGCAGGGGACGTCGAAGACACAGCAGATCAGCCCCGCTGCTTGCCAGCTCCTGTGTGCATCGACGTACAAATGCGAACATTTTTCCTACTGGACCGATGGTGCCTGTTTGCTGACGAGCTACTCGGCATACCCCCAAGAGTACACGGGCCCGGATGACAACGGAGTCATTTCGGGTCCACGTGTTTGCAAGGAGGTGAACAATGGGCCCACAGAGCAGTACAGTGCTTCTGCACTGGGGCTGCCACAATTTCGGGCCAAGGAGGCGCCTGGCTGTGGTAGTTTACACGACGACTACAAGCTCGCCTGGAGTGCAGAGGGCGAAACCTTCTTTGATGGTTGGCAGTTTATTAACAAGAGTGAGACGAGAGGTGCCGAGTGGTACCTCAACAAGACGGAAGCCTTTCATCGAGGTGTGGTCTTTGCGTCAAAGTCTGGAGCCACGATGCGGGTCGGGGAGCAGGTGCAGCCCTTTAAGCGCCGCTCTGTGATGCTGCACTCGGCGCAAGCATGGCGCCCAGACGTTGGCTTCATTGTGGTCATGAAGTACAAGCATGTGCCCTACGGACCAGGAGTTTGGCCAGCGTTTTGGTTGGTGAACAGTGACACGAGCTGGCCCAAGGGTGGCGAGCTTGACATCCTTGAGTACGCGAACGATGAAACAAACAAGGTGACTTTCCACACCGACAAGAGATGCAATCTCAATGTCAAGAAAATGTTGCAATGCTCGCAGGACATCAAAGACATCGACCCGAAGATGATTGTCAGTTGCTACACCAATTACAGCGGCAACGAGTTGGGCTGCCTGCCGCCACAAGTTCGAAAGACAGGTGAGTGGTACTCCAAGAATCCAGGAGTTTTGGCTCTTTTGTGGGACGCCAGTGGAATTAGCTACTTTCACATTCCCGAGAGTGAGATCCCTTCGGATCTTTCCGCCAATCAACCACGACCAAACACTTGGAAGAGCGAGTGGCGAATGGCCTTCATGCCCTTTGACGATGCGTCCTGCATTGGCATTGCGAGGCCGCAGGAGATCGTGCTGAACATAGCAATCTGCGGCGACTGGGCTGGCAATAGCTGGTGGGGCTGTGACGAATGCCGTGCGACAGGCTACGTGCCGGACTACTGCATCCCGGGACATGTGACCGAGCCAGCCACGGATTGCTGCACGATCTATGTCTCCAACCCCTCCGCAGAACAGCCCTTGAAGACAAAGGCGTTCTTCGATATTGACTATGTCAAGGTCTTCGAGCCCGCGTCGTATGATTTGCCAGCCTACCCTGCAGGCACTTATCGGAATGGTGGTTTGTTCGGAACGGACAAATAGGTTCAATTCCGCCTCTAAAAGGGGGCGCAACATGCACTTTCCATCTGTTGACTTGGTGTCCTTTATGCAAAAGGCGGTCTGAAGCCATCTTGCATCCGGACGTGCAGGGTTCGGCACATGTGCCCTTGCTTCAATATTTCCTTGGCTTGAACGGTCACGAGTCATAGTCACAGCAGGTGGACCTCGGGCTTGACTTCAGTGATGTGTCCTGCTCTCAGAGAGATCATCTCTGGTCGGTTCAGATTCAGCTGCGCAACTTCCGGCTGAGGAAGACTCAAATTGATTCAATTTTCCCGATGGGCACAGCAGCCAAAGAGCACTGGGCCCTAGAAGAGAATCCAGAGGCGTGGCAAGTGAAGAGGCAGAGGCCGTCCCCAGTCTGTGGAAGATGCCGTGTAGGTGGTTCTCGTGTACATACGCTTTGCTGTGGGGGCAGCACGTGATTTCAGGACGTCTTCGGTGCCATGCCAAGGTTTCTGTGAATCTGAGCCTAAGCCCTAAGCTTGTCCGTGCAGGAGCGGTCCTGACAAGCCTCCTTTCACAAGGATCACCGCGGGTGGTCTGCTCGCGGGGGAACCGCGTGTGACCATCGCCTGGGAGGATGGTGCTGAACTTACTGTGTTTCACGAGCACCCTGAGACATTATCTGTGATTCAAGGGCCAGTGCCATGAGCGGACAACGGACGTGAAACCACAGGAACGGGCTGGAACACACATCGGCACGCGCAATGCCTGGCACAATCTCTTCCGGCCAGCGAATCACTGTCAAGCCGTTCATGGTGATGAGTTTGCAATCAATGCGAGGCCCTTTGTTGATCATTGGTTTTGACAGAAAGCCGCCAGATAAGGATCTTCACGAAGTGAACAAGAAGCAACGACGAATGCGGGGAAGAGAAAATCTTGAGAAAGTTTACATTGCACCGAAGAACTGTGAGAAAATCGCAGTTTGAACTGGAGCATGAAAGCATTTCCCACATCCTCCGCCGAAAAGCTTCGCTTGCACTTGCAAGGTACGGTTTGCGTGTTCAATCCACACAGAACAGGAAACCGAAAAGAGATCAGAACTTAGAGATTGAAGGTGGGGCCTCGCACATACAAGGCTAAACCGTTTCTGGCAGGCACAGGCCTAGGTGTCGGCTCATTTTTGCAGTGTTGCCCATCATGTTCGTTGCGGCCTCATGTCAGAAACTCAGTCTTGTCGCATGCTGAGTTCCATCCCGGAGTGATACCAGGTGATCCTGTTCGTCGCAACGTGGAGCCACTAGGTGAGTTCGACCTTCACTTTCTTCTAGTACGTCTCTCGAATGCTTGCTTGAAGGTGTGATGTGGGCGGCGATGCCCATACCAGCTCCAGAGGCTCTCCATGCAGCATTGGGCCCGTTGCTTTTTGATCAAAGCTGCAGCGTTTGCGGGAGGAGTGGGCGGATGTCATGCAGCTTGTGCATGCACCCTGCCAGATTCTCAGATGACGTACCTGCACAAGCGCAGTTAGTTGCATTTGGGCGGGAGGCAAGAACTCCATCGACGCAACCAGTCTCTTCTCAGAGCCCTACTCCTGTCTGCGTCGATATGTGGAGGTCCCTCCACATCCGCTCCTGAGTCCAGATTGCTTGACACCTCGGTGCAGGCCGCCTTGGGCTGTCATCTTCCCATGCCGACTACCGATGCATTGCTCGGAGCTTGCAGAGCTTCTGATGCTTTTGATGCGGCCTTTTTTTCTCGCTCCTTTGTCCGAGTCTGAGGCCATCTCAAAGCCCAATGCTGCCCGGTGATGCGCCTTGCAATTCGTCTTTAGTGATAAATCCTGAAATGGACAGCTCCGAGGCATCGTTGCTGTCGTTGGACCACCGGGGCCGCATGCTCAGACCAGTAGTTGATTGCTGCATCTGCAAGATGGCAGCAACTGCACGGGCCAAGGTCTGGCAAGTCAAGACTTTGTCAGAGGGTACTGGGTGACCTCGTGGCAGAAGGAGTTCTAGCTGTGCAGGCTTGAATGCAGATGGCACGGAGGCTTCCGCCACGTGGGCACCCGTTGCGACAGGTTGCTTGCAGCAAGCTTGGACCTGGGAGGAAGTTCAAGGCAGTGCAGGAGCGCTCTCAGATTGCCTGCACCTGCTTCTTCCGTTACTGCAGAGCTTGAGGACTGGCTGCGATCAAGTCTTTCCTTCGCGTGTTGGTACTCTCCTTGCGTGCTGTTGCCGTGTGCTCAGTGCGCTGCAGGTCGTTCGGAGCCCCTTGTTTCCTTGCTTTGAGCGATTGGAACATGAGCAAAAAGAACGCTAACTACCGTGAAGAACAACGAAGTGAAGTGAGCATTGAGCTCCAGACGAAGCAGCAATTCAGAAATGGTCTGTCTCCTTCGGCGTGCCCCGGTGCGAAAGCAGTGCTAACGGATCCACCTGTTGTTGGAAAGAGCGACGGAGAAGCAAGAAAGTGGCAAGGGCGAGTCTGGAGCAAGGTAGTTGCTGCATCCAGGGGCTACTCGTTCCGACGGGACAGGCTTCTTGTGCAGGTTGAGGTGGCTGCTTATCAGATTGCTGAGCTGCTTGGCTTGTTTGCCATACATGGTCTTCTTCGTGCGTCAGGGTACACACCAAAGGCTGACTCGATAGGGGGTGGGCAGCCGGTTTGGGAGCCGGAGGGGCGGTGCATCGCCGGACCGTGTTGGTTTCTTCGATGTTGGTCGAGCCAGCACCAAGATTGGATGATTTCGGAGCATTGTGTGCAGCGCTCAGGGGAAGGGATTTGTCAATCTCTTGCGAGCTTCTTGCACGAGCGTCGAGGCCCAGATGTGGAGCCAGGAGCTCCGAATCTTTCCGTGTCTGAGGCTGGCAGCTGTCATCAGACCTGTACTGTACCTGTGCGCGTTAGTACAGGCAGTGGGTTGACTTCTTGATGTTGGCATACACGACAAGTTCGTTTCCGTTGGCAGAATGGCACATGTGCTGTGTACTGCAGCAGGAACGTTCACCACTCTTGGCAGAGATGATCTTGGACGTCTTGCCGCAGGTGTTGTTTTAGTGATCTATCTCGACCAAATCGGCTCGTGGTTGGTTTGTTCATCCGCGTCTTGATCAGTGTCGACGGCACTCACGTCCAACTCAACACCGCATCTTCGGAGTTCTTTACAGTGAGTCAGAGCTCCGGCGACTTGGCAGTGATCCTGTGCAGGTTCGCTCTTCTGGTGCTCGTGTGGCATGCGTTGCTACAATGCACGATGATGCATCGGTGCATCGGATGCTGCTTGGACATGTGTTCAGCAGAAAACTCACATGGCTTTGGATGCATACATACATACAGCATACTGGTGCGCAACAAGTATCTTCTCGGCCCCAGCTCAGCCGTTGCGGGCTCTCGCTTTCGCCGCTCGCCTGTTTGCAATGCCAGGATCTGATCATCCGGATGTCAGCCGATGTGCTGGCAAGTGCTGTCGAGCTGATCACACCTGGCCAAACCCAGGTTGCGCTACAAACGTTTTGGTCGGCAGCAACTTGCAAGCGATCCTCATCCAGAATAGTTCGACCAACGACGGGCGAGAACGAAAAAATGAAAATAGTGAGAAGATCAGCAACTTTCAGAGTCCTAGAGTCCACAAGATTAGAAAGAACGAGAGAATCACGGCAGGTCGACAGCCAAGGGTGAAGGTGAGCGGGAGGACCACAATGTGTCAATCCCCAAGCTTGCAAAATCTTCCAGCACCGTGTTGAAATCAGCAGCAACAAATCGGTCCGCAGCCCGCCCCCAACGAAAAAGGCAGTTTTCAGCAACAACAGTTGGAATCACGTGCAATCGAAATCGACGCGAAGCTTTGGAAGAATGTTGCGGGTTCTCGCAGCGTATTTGGAAGCAGGTGGGCGAGGATCGCATGCAAAGGTCAGAATAGCGCAGTGCCAGAACTCAGTCCTTGGATCAGCGATAAGCAAGCCACTTCTGTGTATAGTTCCACAGGCCGTGAGATGCGTGAATTAAGCCCAAATTTTTGGCTCACGAGTGCTCAAGCTTTTCGCGCCCCTTTTCTCTCTCCTTAGACCTCAGAGGCGCCATGGCCGACCAATCCAAGGTGCTGGAGACTATGGCCTCGCAGCTCTCCGCGGTGGCTGCTGGCCTCGAGGCTCATCGGGTGCAAGAGGCAGAGCAAACTGCCGCCAACGACAAGACCGCAGAGACGATCGCAGCGATGCACCAGCGCATCTCACAGCACGATGCGTTGCTCACGGGGGATGGCCCGTCTGTGCTATCCACGGCTGCACTTGTGGCTCGTCCTCAAGATTGGGAAGCTCAATTGCCAGATGGCTCGGCTTCCTCACAGCCAGTGTCCAGGGAAGAGTGTGCGGCCATGATCGCAGAAGCTTTGCAGACAAAGGTCGGCCCAGCCTTGTAGGCAGCGTTCTCACAGGTCGGTGCCGAGTTGGTCAACCACGCGGTGAAGATCAACACGCTGGAGCACGAGATCCGGATGCTGAAGATCCGCACGGCATGGACGGAGAAAGACCTCATGTACTCACAGATTGAGGCTGCCAATCCGAACTTCCCAGAATGGGCCACAGCCGCAGACCGTGAGCTCACAGTTGATGAGGCGCCCAAGGAGAACAACCTGGGCTACTTGGAGTGGGACCTGACCACCACGACCATGGAAGGCAATGACGGCAAGCAGTTCCTGGCTCCGATCTCCATCCTCACAGTCCCGACCTATGCCTCCAGAAAGAGGGTCATGGACGCATGTTCTCGCGCAGTGGTTCGCTACTGGCATGACATAAAGGACGAGGAGAAGCAGGACGAGGCCGCCGAGAACGACGAGGCGAAGAAGAAGAACGAGACCGTGCAGCAAGAGACCGCCACGCCAGGGACAGCCAGCAAGGACCCTTCCACAGCAGCCGCCGACGAGGAGATGAAAGGAGCTGACTCGCAGGAACTGGAGCCTCCCGATCAAGATGGCCCCGGGCATCACCCAGTTCGAACGGCAACTCGGTGCACACATGCGCGGCTTGATGAACGCCTACCAGCGCCTGTTCGCCCGCTTCAAGAAGGAGACGCTCACACCAAGGTTGGAAGACCCTCATGTTGGAGGACAAGGAGGGTGCCTGGCTAGGCCGTATCCTGTACAGCCGCAAAGCCCACACGGTCTGACAGAAGTCGAGAAAGCTGCCTATGCCAGCCTGAACAGGTTCCTCACGAAGGCGGTCCCCAGCTACAACGAGGGAGAGGAGCAGGGGATCGAGAACTGGGTGGCCAGGTTCAAGTTTGAGTACCCGTGGGAGCTCACCTTCGTTGGCAGTATTTCCAGGAGCTCCGCCCCGTCGAGGAGCTTATGGCGGAAATGGCTGCGGACCAAGCAATGGAGACTGAAGTGACCGCCGGTGAAACCTTGGTTTTATTTGCCTCACAGGGAACCTCACAGGGGACCAAAAGGCAGCACTCGGAGGGCACCGAATGCACCTTCGATAGCATGGAGCCCTCAGGCGAACCCGATCTTACCAAGGAGCCCTACTACCCGTTCGACTCACAGGCCGAGCTCGACCAGGAAGTGGAGAACGAGAAGATCACCCAGATCAACCAAGGGTACGACTCTCCAAGTATTCCACAGAGCAGTGGTCGCATTGGGTCAACGACAAGAGGCTCAGGCGCCTTGCCAACTCTTTTCCTCTGTCACCTCTCACAGTTCTGTAATATGTTCGGGTTTTTCGGGATTGAGGAATGTGCCTTTCGGCGACGAAGTGCAGACCAACAGCCAACCCACTCACACCCACACACTTTCCACAGCACGCCACCACCACAAGCCGAAAACACGCTCACAGTACAGGCGAGGGCTTCGCAGCAGAGATGCCCGACAAGGCCGAGCACAGCAACGCTGGACCAGCCCCACCAAAAGCCTCTATACGACCTCACGAGCCGCACTCGCTCACACCGGCGGCTACAGCTGAACAGCCACAGCAGTGACAGCAGCAACAGCCCACAGCAGCAGCAGCAGCAGCAGCAGCAGCAGCAGCAGCAGCGGCAGCAGCACGCACGACCCACAAGCAACAAGCAGACTACCACCCACCGATGTCACAAATTCCGGCGATTCCTGCATACCCTCTTCAAGCTGAAGAGAAAAACCCCACAGAACAACGGCACACCCAACCACCTCCGCACCGACACCAGGCCGGCCCCTCACAGCAGAAGGCAGTGGCAAAGCCGACACGACACACGCCGCAGGCAACACACCAGAGCACACTGGTTCAAGACACACATTGCCCAAGCCAGCAAGAAGGGCAGAACCAAACACGACGTGCAGACCACACCCCAACACCAACTGCGAGGAGCGTTTTGGAATACCACAGGGCTCCTCGAAGCAGCCAAGCTCCACACCCTGATCCACATCATGAAAAAGCACCGCTTCAGCTGGTTGGTGCTCACAGAGACCCACATGAAACAGCCCGATCAGTTTATGATCGAAAGGTACACCATCACTCACAGCGCCACCGAGGACTACGACAGCAAAGGCAACCCCACGCAGACCTTTACAGGGGTTTCGCTGATCACAGCCCCACACCTCACACCCACCATCACCGACCTCACATGCATCGACGGCCGCTCCCTGCGCTTCACCATTGACACGGTTGAAGCACTACTGACCATACTACATAGCCGTCTATGCCCCCCACAACCAACGCGAGCAACAGTGTCGAGACCAGCCCACAGAGAGCGAGCCCCCCTTTTGGTGGTGGGTGAGGTGATTTCAACACCCTCGCTCTTGACCCACACGCCACTGGCGACACCAACCCAGGACATCTAAGGGCATCACAGACCTGTTATTGCCTCAAACTTCCAACGCCAGTTCCACGACCTACTGGCCTCGCAGGACTACTGCCTTCCACAAAAGCTAGCAGAGCAGCGGCAACAATACAACCGCCACATCACGCAGCAGCTCGGCACCGATAGCCCGGACGACTCTTACTCACAGCCACCCTCCCAACTACCATTGCCACCGCAACCCCACACACAATGGAGCAGCTTAAGCGCAGCCGCATCCGCCGCCATCTCCGAACACATCCCCACTACCACTTCGTTCCCCAAACACCCCTGGATCACTCAAGCAACCTGGCAGCTTATACAAAAAAAGGTCCGCTGCACGTTTCTCACAGAGTCTGGACCGTGAAGCGCGCTCCACAAGGATCTGAAGGACATCCGCAAACAAGCACGCAAAGACAAAACACAATGGCTGAAAGAGCGACTGGCAGAAAGTGAGGCCACTCTTGATCCGCGCCAAAAACGGAAGTGGATCAAGAGGATTCGCTCGGACTACAAGCCCAGACCAGTGTCAATACGAGACTCACAGGGCAAGCCAACCAGCCTCTCACAGCAGGCCCAAAACTTCGCAGAGTACCTGCGAGACTCACACTGGGCAGCACCCCCCACGCCCTGCAGTGGCCCCACAGACCCCATCCACCCGCCAGCAGCCGTGGACCTCACACCCATCACCATGGTGGAGCTCACAGCAGCGCTCAAAGAGCTGGCCCACAACGAAGCACCCGGGACGACCAGCTCCCCGCCGAAGCCTGGCAATGGCTGGACGACCACAACAAGGAGCACAGCCACCATCCCAGAAGACTGGCTCAAAGCTATTGTGGTCGAAATCTACAAAGGCAAAGGACCACTCACAGACCCGGCCAGTTATAGACCCATTTCACTTCGCAACACGTCGTACAAGCTCTTTGCCAAAATTCATCCACAACAGACTCCAGGCGGCACTGGACAGCAGGCTAAGAGAAACCCAACACGGGTTTAGAGCAACACGCTCTACTTCACAGCCGATCCACATCATCCGCAGACTTATCGAAAGAGCGGAAGCCACAGGACAATCACTATACACCATCCTTCTCGATTGGGAGAAGGCGTTCGACAAGATACACCCAGACGCCCTCCTCACAGCGCTTACCCGCTATGGCGTCCTACAGCACCTCACTGCACTCATCAAGAACATCTACACCTCACCACACTTCACACCGGCAGCGGCAGGCAAACAAAGCACCGAAGCAGAAGCCAGCTCGGGAATCCGACAGGGATGCCCGCTGTCAACCTACCTGTTCCTCATAGTCCACGGCATGATGATGCACGACGTGGACCAAGAGCTCAAAGCCAACGGGGAAATCCTCCCCTGGCTCTACAGCCAAAACCAGCCCTTCTACGACTTAGCATACGCCGACCACACAGCACTCATTGCAGGCACTGCTTCGCATCCTGCAGCGGGTGGCAGCGCACAGCAACCTACACGTCAACCTCAAGAAGTGTGTGCTGTTACCGCTCGCTCACCTCACAGAACACCATCCACTTCACAGACGGCACCCCGCTCGCAATAGAACAACATGCCAAATTCCTCGGAGTCACTCTTAGCAGCAACGGCTCCTGTCACAAAGACGTCACCACAAGGCTTGCCAAAGCCCGCAAGCACTTCCATTCACTACACCAATTCTGGCGCAACACGGACCTCACAGTGAAGTGGAAGCTCAGAATTTGCAACGCTGTTTTCATTCCACTGGTGACGCACGGATTAGAGTCCGCACCGCTCACCGCCGGAGATTACCACAGACTCGAAGCATTTCACTCACAATCCCTACGCAAAATCCTCCACTTCAAAAGCACCTACTACACCGAAGTCCTCAACCCCACAGCACGCACCTACACCAACCAGGAAGTGAGAGCACTCACTTCACAGCCACTTCTCACACACCACATCCACAAAGCACAGCCGAAGCTTTTCGGGCACATTCTTCGATCCCATCCGAACAGTATAGAACGGAACTGCTGTTTTACTGGGTCTTTTCAGTACAAGGTGCAGGCCTTAGGCCAGGCAGGCGTAGGTTCCACTGGACGGAACGGTGCACCAAGTTACTTTGGCACTGGCTTTTAAAGTCCTCTAGACCCCAGTCTCTCACAGCCCTACCTTCCCATACTCCTATCAACAAGCTCACAGAACAGCTGTAGACCGCTCCTTTTGGAGTACTCTAGTGAGGTTGCCAACGTGCAAGACACTCCTGGAAGCACACTCCTACGTTGTTCTCTCACAGACCTGAGTTCTTGCGGAGTTGTTGCCAAGCGAGTTGCATAGGGCCGCCCACAAAAAGCCCAAATTTCCAGACCATGAGTGATTGGGACAGCAGTTTTTTGTTTGCTTCACCGCCTTTCCACAACTTTCCACCACCCCCACAAGGCGGCAAAGTGCCAACACTGAAGGAATCAGCTTGCAAACAGTTGAAGACATCGACATGTGATAACAAGACGAACTAGATGCAGCAATCATAGTCTTCTCCGTAACAGGGCATGCTGTCCGACAGAATAGCGGAGATATGTTGACATGACCCAACCAACACAACCGCCAGGTGCTGTGCTCTGGTGAAGTGCTCGAGGACATGAAATCTTGTTGCAGCCAATCAGAAAGGAGTGATGTCTCGAAGTTGGACAGTTTCGTCCCCGTGGCATGAAAAGATAGTAGAAACGTCTTGCAGGGTCTTGGAGGGTATGAGCTCAGGATACTCGAGCAAGTTTGGGTTACGGAAGAGACGGTCATCTGGGCTAAGGAGGTAATCACTTCGAAGCAAAAGGGAGCCAAATGAGGCATACATCATTCGGAGAATATTTGTTGAGGATGCTTGTTCGCCCGTAAAGAGTGCACATATGAAGCCATCATGAAAGACTTCACCGAACATTCCATCATCAAGCACATGCAGTGCAAACGATTCAGGATAAGAGTGCGCAGGCAGAAGTTCACCGTGATCAGGGAATCTCGTGAGAATCACTTATCCACTGGCAGTTCTGCGTCACGAGGGGCACCGCTCAGCTCCAAAACCGAAGAACGTTTCGAGAGAATCTCCGACGGGTTGCGACCGGAGCCTTCCTTGTGTAGGGCGACAGATCATGCTGAATCTGTGGCAAACCGAGGGGTCGAAGACCTGGATCGAAGTCGATGCACACAAATGCACCAAGATAAATCCTGACATCGTGGCACAAGTTCTTGCCTTGGTTTCCGCGGACGCACGAGCTCTGTCCTCGCATGCCCATGCTCTGTGCACATGCTGACCTGAAACTACGTAAATGCTCTCAAGCTTGATACGAGCGAAGCCGCTGGAGGGCTCGGAGAGATTCGGAGAGAGAAGGCTCTGGACGTGGCCAGCCTTGGAGCACAAGGTTCGCGTACGTTCGTGACGACCCTAGATGTTACGGAGCACGAGATGCGAGAGCGCGAGGTCCTGATTCGGCAGCCCCAGCTGAAGGAGTCTCGCAGTTTTCCTTCTTCGCAAGGCTAGACAGAGCGATCTGTCAGGAACGGCCCGAGATCCTGCAGGCCCTCTGCCACCACAAGGACCGACGGGCCCGGCAGGTCCGAAGACAGAGCTTCTTGATGCTCTGTGGCCACGTGCAGGTTGCAGATGGATGGGAGGTCCCCCGCTGAGACTGATCCCCCCCTCGCACAGCGAACATGCTTGCTGCCAGGTCGACGAGGCCTCGGTGTCACCCAGCGTCTAGACCGATCGTACCTCCTTACCCTTCTCGTAACTCTGTGGATATCTCGTCGCTACTTAACTTTAAGTCCATTCAATACCGATTCTGGGTCCATGACCAGGCCTTGCTTTCGGAAGGGGCAATGGACGACTGGGCTGGACGTTTTCGACTGAGCTGGTGAGAAGGAAACTTCTCGTGGGTAGGCACTCTCAAAACAGCCTCAAAGAATGGGGCCTGCTTGAGTGTCTGAGGCATTGATGGCTTCAGCGTTGCCGATCTCGCCAGCGTGGTGGAGCGGGCTTGCGTCGAGGTTTTTGGCATGCAAAAGATGCTTTCCAGTGCCATTTGGCCGCCTCAGCCCTGCAGGCCACGGTCGATGCCAGTGCCGGGAGGCTTCGAGGAGGAGACTCACGCTTGCCCGAGTCAGACCACCAAGATTTGGTCCACAAAGCGTTCCGCGCTGCATTCCAAGAGCTCGAAGCGCATGCTTGCTGCGAGGTGGGGCGACCGCCAGCGCATGTCCATGCAGCATCTCGCCAAAGCTTGCGAGGTACAGCAGTGACATTCTACTTGGATACCTGCTTGACCTGCTTGTGGGATCCAGCCATGACAGATTGTCCTCCCATGCGATTGGAAGGATTTTGTGCCAGCTTCCATGGCTGACCAGAGCTTCTTCACATCGGACTGGTACTTTTCACTCCTGTCTGAGAAATATGACTCAGATACTGGTTGCGCCTGCAGGACATAGTCCTGAAGGACATTGGAGGTCTGACCGATGTGAAGCAGGAGTGCGTGCATCATTTCGTGTGAATCGGCGACACCTGATACTACCAGGAACTGATGGACATGCTTACCATGCCCACGAGGCAGCGGAGTAGAACTCAACACAAGCGACACCTGGCTTGGCCGCGGCTCCAGGTATGCCGTTCTCCTTGACCGTGCCCCTGTTCGAACGAGAAAGGTGGGCCGAAAGAGTGCAACTAGATGCTGATCCTTTTGCCAATAGTATCAGGGCTTGATGCTGGTGGGCCCTCCTGGTTGTGGCAAGACGATGCTGATTCAGGCTCGATGCCACGGGCGAGGGAACAAACAAGAAGTTACAGCACACTCCAACTCGCAAAGAGCGCCACACCCGGAAACCAGGAACAGCTTTAACAGGAAATTGGGCCGTGCCACCCAACCATTGCGGGATCAGGAGAACAACAATACTGTAGGTGCGCGCCGTAAGCTTCGCTTTGTTCCCGGTTTTCCGCGGGGAGGGTAAGATTTTCTGCCCAACTACACTTTCGGGGTTTGAGGTTGGCTGCCACACTCCCTTAAGAGTTGCGGGCTTGACATTTGCTACCCGAGATCCTAAAGCTGCCCATCACTCTCGTTGCATACCCGCCCATCACTCTTGTTTAGGTTTTTCACCCAAGCTTACCATCACATCACTTAAACTCGCACATCACCACTTTTTGCCGGGACCTGTCACTCCATCGTCTTCGGAGCTTAGTCGGTATGCATTCGCACTTGTCGTAGCGTTTAGGGGTTGATTCAAGATCCGTCCGTTTGATCTCAGAGACTTTTGCAGTTGCTGAGTTCTAGCGAAGCAGGATATAACATGCAAAACAACTCTTTTCGGCCTGAGCCACATGCTTGGCATTGCTTCTCGCGAACTGGAAGGCAGCTGCTTCCGAAACCAAGGGCCTTCTGAGGCTTTGGTATGCTGCACAAGTTCGGTCTGATCCCGGCGTGCTGTGCCAGGTTCTTGTCAGTGAAAGGTCCCGAGCTTCTCTCCAAGTATATCGGGGAGTCAGAGGCCGGTGTACGGAAGGCCATGGGGTACATGGAGGGTATGAGAACTCTGCAGCATCCTTTGTTCACAGGTGTTCGAACGGGCTGCAGCAGCAGCTCCTGCCGTGATTTTCTTTGACGAAATAGAGGCCTCCTTCTGAAGCTGGTTGCTTTGTGCCTGTCCCGTGGGAATTCAAAAGCGCCAAACATGGCCCGACAGGCGTTGGCGCCAAAGCGGGGAGGTGAGATCAATCGCAGGGCAAGCAGCATTGCAATCGTTGCATTTTGTGGATTCCCTGGACAGCTGACTCGACGGGGGTGACCGATCGAGTTGTCAACCAGATGCTATGTTACTTGGATGGGGTCCAACCGCTCAGCTTCGACTTCAACCTGCTGTCATTGTACGTTTTCGGCTGTGTCGTGAACGCCGAGGTAGAAGACAGAGGTCGGGTCTTCGTTGCCAGGAGCTTGCAGAATGCTAATGCGTTGCACGGGAGGAATCTGAGCACTCGAGGTTGCTGCGACGGGACGACCGGACATGGTTGATCCGGCTCTTATGCGACCCGGGCGCTTCGACAAGATCTGCTACTGCGGCCCGAGCCCAAGTCAGTGAACAGCATGTCAGAAACAGTGCAGAGTCTGTGTGTGGGCGGGTGGTGCAGGACCACACATGGTGCAGAGCATTCGTGTTAACAGCAACCACATTGCGGCTGAAAAGTTTGAGGTCTCCCGTCAGATTCTGAAAGGCTCGCCATATGCGAAATTCTCGCAAGGCGCTTTCGTCTGAATGGCCAGCCATATTACCATCCGTGACGAGTTGTGAGTAGTTGCAAAATTGTCCGCACGTGCTATGCAGCCTACGCTTGCGATCTCGGCTAGGAAGAACAATCTGGTGCCGGAGCAAAGCCACAGCCCACCGACACAGGGCACGAGTAGTCTGACGGCCCGTGGCTCAGATTGCAAGGGAATCTCCTGCGATCAGCTGCCAGCTGTGTTCACGGACGCAAAGCTGGCAGCTTTATGATCTTTCTGCATCAGGCGTCCAGCATGTTGATGTGTTCAGCGCCTTTGGCTCGGGATCTCAATGAGAGTAAACTTACTAGTTCAAGCTTTAATCCTGTTACATGTAGTTCAGTAACTCCACATCTTCAGCCGAAGATAGAGGTATCCCAACACTTCTGAAGCACGTTGTCGCACATCGGCGGGTCATGTCCCCAAAGAAGCGGAGGAGCTGGGCTGACCAAGGCGTCTTTGCTTTGAGCACATCTGGAACTGTCAATGACTTTCCTTCCTGACATGAGGTCCCTCCTCGTCATCGCAGAGCCGTGTGTCGACCGATTCGCAGGTGTCGGCAGTTTCTGGCGCGTCGGCATCCGGTGTTCATGTGGAGACTGCCGAGGCTTTGCCGGAACAGTATTTCATGGCTTGAATGAGAATGTCAGCAGCCGCTTTGGATAGAGTTTTCGGTTGTTTCTGCAGCATTGTGCGATAACTCAGTACCCTCCGCAAGATTGCGTCTTCCGTGGAGCTTTGAGCTTTAAAGCTAGCTTCGAACCCTGAAGGGCAAAATTCCAGAAGAATTACCAGAACCAGCTGACAACTGCGATCTGACAATTTTCTCGGACAACGCAAATGCCCACGTGTCCGATAATTTTTAATTGCGGCTCCTAAATTGTTTTTTGTTCAAGGCTTGTCGGCAGAGTACCCTGTGGGCCCGTCGTTCGCGATTGGGGAGTGCGGCATCTTTACTGCGCATTTGCATTCAGGGGAAAAGGATTTTTGAGTCAATGATGCATTAATCCACAACAGGTGAGGAGGAGGCAAGAGTGTTGAAAAAAACATGAAGAAGGAAGCGCAGTGTGCAGCTTGCAACACTTCAAACTCGAGCCTAGAGTCTATCCAGTAGTTCGGACGGCTGCATTCTGTGACTCAGAGTGCCGAATCAGGTAGTTGCGTCCCATGATGTGGAGAAGCAAGCCGTCACGCGGACGCCGAATGCCGAAGGACAGCGATTGGGATTCCATCAGCTTTGGACATGTGTCACTGAGCTCTTTGGCCGCTCGAGCCCTGTAAGAACGGCGAGCGCTGCGCCGCAAGTCTGGGCGTGTGGCCCAAGTTGCGAAGCGGCAGGCCCAGATTCAGAAGGTCTGCGATGATTGCGGCCGGTCTCTGTTGGAGATGCCAGCGCCACCGCCACCGGATATCAACTTGTCACGGCGTGAATGGAACATTCAGTTTGGGGCCTGGTACCTCGCCCTGAAGTAGCAGCTAAGGGGGTACCCATACTTGCCAGCTTTTTGGCACCTGACACCACCACCCCTCCTCAAATCATCTTAAAGCAAGGTCCTCTCCCGATCCTTAAACAGATCTATCCAACCATCTCAGCAGCCGCCTCATCTTTGCCATCGTTCAGACTAGACAAGGTTGCTTCCCAACAAACTGGAGCGGTCAAGGCAAGACTCAGCAAGTCGAAAGACTGGATAACCATACGCTCAGTTTCCTTCGGTGGCAGGACAGCGCATTCCAACCCCTCTCTTCTTGCAGATTCTGGCTACATTGCTTCTGCTACCCCACCCTAAGTTGAACGAGGATCCACGCTGTCGAGTGAAAGTGTGAACTTGACTCGAAGCTTCAAGGGCGCTCGGGGGGGGGGGGAACTGGGCAAGGTTGGGAGAAGCTGATCCTTCCGGGACTGTTCTCCACCAAGGAAGCAGCGCCAGCGTCGACATTCCCTCGGCAAGGGCTCAAGCAAAGGCAAGCTGCGTCAAGCTTCAAGCACATTCCGAGTTGAGATGGACTGCATGTCCTGGCAGGCCAGAAGGGCAAGCATGGCAAGAAGGGCAAGAAAAGCAGAAATGGACAGAGCAAGTGAGCTTGGACCGCCGGACTGCAGTCGTATGCAAAAATCGCGCAGTCGATGGACTGTCCACTTCAGATGAGAGCGGAGCTGCAAGCGCCACCGGCCGCCGGGAGCCGCCATCTTCCCTTCTACAGCCATGTACGGCTTGGGTTGATAACCTTTGCACTGCATAGCGCTTGGATTTTTCTTACCCAGATCAGAAGTTTTGAGTTTGGTGAGAAGCTGATCAGGGCATCATGCCTCATCCCAAACTGATCAATTTTGGTCCGACGTCGAAGATTCCTGAGATTGTGTGTGGCAACTCTTGAAGAATCCTTATGGCAGATGCGCAGTGATATGAGGAAGCTCAAAATCGTCGTAAGTCACACTCCGCTTCGGCCTAGACCTGAAAGATTTTGTTGCATGTGCCCAGTGTGCCATTGTCTGGGTCCGGACTTGCCTGTTTCCGAGAGCTGGGCTGATTCAATCTGTCAAGTGCTGCCCCGCGACGTTTTGCACGACCCCGCTGGCTTGATCCAGCTTTGTACATTAATTACAGGCAACGCAGACAGTGGACGCAACAAGAGTGACATTCGTCTGCTGGGTTCATGGTGCTCGCGAGTCTTTGCAGGAGGAGTCTGTGCAGTGATCGCTTGCCAAGCACAAACAGACACACCGACAGCAAGTCCTGGCAACGTGCTGCCAGGCCAATCTGCAGCAACTGGTTTCAAAGCTTCCGCGGCTGTTTACGAGTGCGGACTCGCATGGTTCGTGTTAGCAGTTCCGGTCTAGAGTCTATGTCAAATCTACAAAGTGCGACCTCTGATGCATCTCATGGCCTTTACTTCATCTTGGTCTGCAGGATATCAACGCTCTGTTCTCGTCAGCGAAGATTGAAGCTGTAAATGAAGCCCTGGCGTCCTCACCTCACTGGCCGCAAGAGAGATTAGGGCCAATCATGTGCTCTGCAATGATTCGGTTAGACGTGGCACAAGGCAAGAGAGAGGCATGCACCAGTCCAGACAGCCGAGCATGAGAATAGGCCGGGTCTTGGTTCGTAGGAACTGCTCTGGGGCATACTGCGGCTTCGCTTGAAGTGTCTGTCAGAAGATCCGCGATACTCGCGGATCTTATCTGCTGAGGACACCTGTACTCTGCACTGGAGACGGCAAAGGCACTCCTCTGCGGGCATGACTGGGGCACTTTTTCCCAGCAAGACTTGTTCCCCACCCGTCAGAGGCATCAATATCCGAAGCCGATGAGAGGAAATATTCTCAAATCTTCGGCCCCTACTGTCTGCACCTCTGCGCCCACCTTTGACAAGAGATTGTGGCTGCTTTGCCGAAACCGGAGCAGAGGTCCTGGTGGCACCGGTCGCAGAGTTGGTATTGGCGAGGAAAGCAAGGCTGTCAAGGCTTGATCCTGAAGTGCGCTGTTGGCATGTCCTCCTGCTGGCACGTCAATGTCGTGTCTGTTCAGGTGGCTCTGGCATGACTCGCAGCAGCCTGGATTAGTATCGGTTGCCGACAGCTTCTGCTGATCGAGCGAAACAGAAGCTGAGGGCATACTTGGCTGGCTATGGTATGTGGGTGGAGCTTCCTATGACTTTGTAATTCGCCGTCTGGCTCGGAAACTCCCAACATGTTACGAGATGTAGATAATAACGCAACTTGCAAAACTTGTGAGTTTTGGCTGGTGTCGCAAATCCTGGTTTTGTCTATGGGCCAATCTGTAAGTTCCGTAGCTCATCGACTCGTCGACCTTTCAACGCACTCTTTCAGGATTTCCTTTTCCTTCGACGTTTCTAGCATGGTATCATGGTTGCACACGCTTGTTGCAGCTTTTGTGGTGCTGCGTCCGCTGAGCTATGCTGGGGTGGCAAGCTTAGCTGGCTAGATCTTGGCTGGACGCTCAAGCGGTATCAATGTGTCAGTTTAGCATCGGTTTTACTGGCTCAAAACTTCTGCGAGCATCTTGGGTTTGCCCGGCAATGTTTATGTTCCTTCCGCTTGCTCCCTGAATTTTGTGACCTCGCCCCATCTCTCTGTGGTGTACCTATGTTTTGAGACGTGTTGATGTTTGCTTTTTTGTTCAGTGTTTTTCTGTTTGATGCTGTAACAAGCAAGCAGGCAACTGTTAGTATCAGTATGTATATATATACATATACAAGTACGAGTAGTAATACTTGCCGGTAGCAGTATACTTCAGACTTTTACTCACCCTGAAACTCTTACAGAAACTCATGCCCATATTCACACCCGGACAAATACTCACGATCATACTAATACTAATTGTTCGACTCTTACTCGTGATACCCATATTCGTATTCATGCTGATGCTAATACTAGTTTGTGCTAGTGCCAGTACAAGTACCACGACTACAGCTAACTCTGACACACTCCTAAATGTACAACTAGTACTTATACCGACACCAAGACTAGCCGCAAAACTAATACTGATGACAGTACCAAATGGAAATACTACATGCAATACTAATACTGATGCTTGCACCAATGGAAATACGAATACTGCCGCTTCCAATACTTATACCGAGGCTGATGCGCATAATGGTATTTTCATAGTGATACTGATGCGGAGACCCATGCTCATGCTGGTACTCATACTCACACTCGTACTCATGCTCATACTCATCCCTATATCTATATTGATATCATATTCATACTCCACTTCGCACTCATACCGATACTGGCACTGAGCATATGCATACTGATACTGCGATTAGTACTATCACGATTACTGTAGGTATAACTAAGGACTATTTACTATCTACTGCTCACTCTTCGCTATCGACAAGTTACTTGTGACCAACTACCACTGGCAATCTACCATTTACCATTTTATTCTTGACTTCTTGTCATTTAATGATTACAATTTGCTGTCTACTTTCCCGCTATTGAATAAAGCAGGCGGGTCGAGACTCCCTCGCAGACCGGGCTTTCAGCGTAAAACTGGATCTTCTGCTCAGATTCTTACAACAGCAGCACGGGAAGGTTTTGTCACGAGGCTAGGACATGTGAACTTGTTTGTGCCACCCGGCCCAGTACTTCAAGCGCCCGCCACTTCGTGGACTGATTGTGCTTAGAGTGGAACGCATGCATCTCCACCGACTGTGAAGCTGAGCTTGCATTGTCATGCTGTGGGACATTCAGAAACGTTTGGCATATATTGCAATCATGGCAGGGCAGATCAACGAGTCCTGTAATAGTTCGCAATCCAGCAGGCGCAGTGGCCGCCTGCCCTCCCACTCAGGACGGATGGTCGGTGTAGGCATCGGATGGCATCGGAGTACTGTTCGTCAGGTCTTGAATCATGCAGCACTCGCTTGGGTTGCTGGTGCTCAAACTGCAGAATGTGCTCCAACAGCAGAATGTGCTCCGTGCCGAGCGCTGGCACAATCCAGGCTATTTCGCAGTCCAAAAGCTCAACGGCATTGTCGAGAGAAGGCTTTGTAACAAATCATTACAAAACAGACCTCGGTGGAATGGCTGTCAACAGCTGGGTAGTAGGCAACTTCAGCCGCGATGTCCACCAAAAAGCAATCATTCCTACATGACGAAGTTGCTCGTGGAAGGTTTCTCTAGATGTTGCCGCGTATTGTGATCAGTTTGGCAAGACCTTGCTTGTCATGGCTTCAGTTCAGAGTTGGCGAATACAAACACATACAAACACATGTAAGCTCTTGGGTGGCTTTGCGCAGGACTCGAGGGCGCTGGATTGTGGATGCCACTGGCACTCGCGTGAAGCTCGCCTGCGTCAACTGGGCCGGTGCGGAAGTGAAGGTCAGTGGCGTACGAATTACCCACATTCGGGGAAAAGATGATCCAGTGTGACAGCGATGCAGGACGGCATCGTCGGTGGCTTACATGCCCGAAATGTGACGAGCGCCTCGGTCCTATTCGTGAGCATCAGCGATAAGATGCCAGATGGAAAAGGCTGGTCCACGCAGGGCGTAGTGACAAAAGTACTTCTGAGCGCAGCGAAGGTATTGCAGCCACCTTCAAGTCAATGGGTTTCAATTGCGTCCGCTTCCCGTGGTCTGTTTGGATGGCCAGGAGCTCAGAAGTGTTGTTCACATAGATCCCTGTGTAGGCTTGACATGCAGGTTCAGACGAACCCACAAGTTCCAGACGACCTGCAAGAGTCTCTCCTGGCTGCGAATCCGCAGTTGATGGGATTGAGAACGCTGGAGGTGCTAGATGCCGCCGCTTTGCTTGCACGCGGTACAAAGCTCCGGGTCGCAGCTGTGTTTTCGATGTGCTGAGGTCATTGATGCTTGTGCAGGGATCTTGATACACACGCCGTTCTCTTTCATTGGCAGAGGTCTCTTGCCGAGAGCATGCTTCGTTGCGACCAAGGCTGCCGAAGAACTGCTCATCTTTCTGGACAACCACGTGTCAGATGGTGCAATTGCCTAAGAATTTTGACATAAATCCGATTGGCCTCTCTGGTGCAGGGACCTGGTGCTGCAGTGACTTTGATGAGAACGGTCTGTGGTACAACAGCCGCTGGCCAACCAGCGACTGGCTCGAGGCAGCAGGGCCGTGCAGTGACGGTTCAGGGCACTTCTCTCACCGTGCCTGAGGCACATGTGAACCTCGCTGCCCGCTACGCGAGGAAAGCTTTGTTCAGAGCGGTGCGGAATGCTGCGGACTCGTCTGTAGATTCTGGAAGGCGGCCCTATGTTGTTGGGACCGAGTTGCGGAACGAGGCTGCACACCCTTCTGTCTGTGTCCATCATTGAGACACAGTTGAGCCAACTGCGGCCACGATGCGCCATGACTGCAAGGTCCGTGCGAGTGCCCCCGGTGGGGCACCGCATTGGGGTGGTGGAGGACTCAACGTGCCGGCCTTAGTGGAAACATAAGCATGTGCTCTGTGGTCTGTCGATACTGCACCTTGCTTGCAGAAAGCAATCTTGGCCAGTGCCAGTTTTCTTGGGAAGCTCGTCCCGACAGATGGAATGCGCGCCCGCTCGTGCCAGTGCGGCGGCCGCATCATGTTAGTCCTCGCGACAGACATGTCTGCTGCGGTTTGTGGCACCGCAAGATGTGTCCTCAACAGATGGTAGGGGCTTGCGTGGCGGCGAAGATGGGTCGGGTCGAACGGCAACTGCTTGAGGCTCCTCACCCTGACTCCAAGCAGAGTGACCGGTCCATCAATGTATGAGGACATCAGGATGGCGCGAACGTGTGGGACGCCTCTTTGACAGCCCCGCAGAACAAAGGGAAGCTCTGTTTGGCTTCCATCTCGAACCTTCAGATACCTCTCTCCGGCGGTTGGATCCCCACCCTCTTGCCAGACGATCCTGGCAGCAAAAGACATAGTTGTGGATTTCGGGGGGGGGGGGGCCATCCGTTGGAAGTTCTCCCTGCCTGGCCTCTCTCGATCGTGGCAGATGCCATGTTGCGATGGAAGCAAGACGAATTGTCAGAAGAACATCCTGCCAGAAGCCATCGACAGCCATCAGTGATATCAATTGGGCATCATGACTGGTGACTATAGTCCCTGAAAAAGCTGAGCCTGTTATGCCAGGACTGGCACGCTGCAGCCACCGAGGAGAACTTGTTGTCTTTGCACGTGGGTCTTGACCTTGCGTCTGCTTTTATCTGCCATTCGTGCCATGTGAGGCTGGCAATGCCATACTGTCGGTAAATCCATCATTGCTGATTGCTGTCGCGCGGTTCTTAGTTTCTTTGCGTCTGTTGGCGCGATATCTAGATGCTGCAGCGACGATGACTAAGGGCGGGATCAATTATGGCAAGGATCTCTCTGGTGTTTACAGGCGCAACGTAGTGAGTGAGAGCGGCAGCCAAACTCAGCGTTTTGTGACAAGCTATTGTGGACGAAATCGAGGCTGCCCGTGAAGCTCGACAAGCCCAACAAGCTTGCCTTGAGCTGAACGCAGGCAAGATAAAGGTTTGGCTGAAAGCTACCAGATGAGGTGTACACCTCCCACAGCTACTCATGGTCCTACCCGTGGTTGGCCGATAGCTACCAGGCGCCATATCCACAGAGTGTGATCTCTCCCACGCTTTGGCTTGCCTCGCCTTTCCCCATGTCTTTTGTTCGTAGGCCTTACACGGGCAGCTGGGCAAGGACTGGGGCTTCATCGTTGAGGAACACAGGCCCGATGGCTTCAGAAAAAAGCTGCTCAGTGTGTTCGCATGTTGGAGGCCATTTACTGCACCAGTCTGGGTCAGTGAATTTGGCACTTTCAGCGACTGCCACAAGGCCTTAGATGGCTTCAAACTCTGTTCGGTGGCATCACATCGTTCTGATCGCTCTCGCCAAATAGCCTCAGCATAGGACTCCTGCGCCAACTGGTGGCCGGACTTCCTGCAGTACTTGCTTCAGGCACAGAGTTTTCAAACTGAAAGGGAAAGCTCAGAGCACCAGCAGCGACGCGGCAGGGCGACTTCGATTGGGCTGTTTGGCATGGAGATGGCACCTGGAGCCGGGATGACCTACACCCTTTTCATGGCCCGACGAGTGCGCCGAAGAAGATTAGATCTGGGTCCCAAGAGACGGCTGGAGTTGTCTGGTTCAGACTATGGCGTGCTGGCTGCCGACTGGCAAACCCCAGCAGCCAGCGGCGAACTGCTTGCTGCGCTCCAAACGGTTCAGGCCTTTCGATAGCAGCGTTGTAGCCGTTCCCTGCCGTTTGCCGTTTGCAGGCTCCGTGGAGTGGACCAGGCAGGAACTCCTCGAACGGGTTTTTCCCATGCGAGTGAGCGCACGGAGGTGTGAACTCCTCGGCACAGCGTTGCAATGCGCACTGCGCGGACTCCTGGGACTCAGGCGCAGACCTTGCAGAGCTTTGGAATGCAGCACAGCGATCGGATCGTGCTCCGAACTACGAACTGAGTGGAAGATCTTGGAAGGATGGAGCAACGGGCGAGCGAACGCCGCCGCTTGCGCCCCGTGTCTTCGGAACAGGCTCAGCTTGCTAAGCGAGTGCTCAGCCAAGCTGTTTTGAGCCCAACACCGACATGCGATAGGCCTTGCCGAGGCAACTTGTCGGTTGAGGCAAGGCTCTCTTTGGTTCGCGACCATGGCCTTCCGTCTTCAACCGAGGAGTGGTGCAGCAACGGATGGGCGAAGGTGAGCTGTAGCTGGACGCATGAAGCTCAGGAAGGACTTACTGAAGCAGTGGAGCATGTACCCGGCAGTGATAGCATGGGATGAGAAAGTCATGTACTCGTCAGTCTTCGCTGGAACTATGCTGGCACAGAACCTGAGCACGTGCCACACATTTTTCATGCGGGAAGGGGGCAAGGAATGAGTGGAGCAGGCAACGTACAGGGCGAGGGGAGCGAGTGGCACGAGTGGAACGGTGGAGCGAGTGGAACGAGTGCAGCAGACGGATTAGCGCCCCCCCACGCCTACACTCTCTCATTACATTATCCAGAGGTGGCGGTTACACAAACGCACCCGAAAGTGAAGTCGTGAGGTTGACAGATATTCAGCGAGTGGCGATTTTCCAGATTTTTTTCGGCAGGGAACACAGCAAGAGATCACGATGGCACAGTTCAAGTGTTTCATGCGAGTACCTCCACCTCACACCCACGGACCAGAGAACACTCCTTGCACCCCGGGTTCAACCTGTTCTTCAGGGCTTTGGTTGGAGCCGGGTGACGGCTAAATCCGAGGATTGGGTGTGTGCTCGCGATCAGCGGCTGCTAGTCCAATTCGTGGTGCGCGCGCGCGTCAGATCTCACGCTCCGAATCTGATAACAACTGCGAACAGCTGCTCCACCTTTGCCCGGAGACGCTTGCAGGCGCTCCTCATGGCCCTCAACGACCCTACCACCGTGCAATGCTATGTCGGACCTTAAGTCGATTAAGTGGTCTCGCAACTGAAACCGTGACCACCCGAGGCCACAACGACTCATGCGGATGGTGTTTGCAGAAAGGCTGTTTTAGACTTGGCTTGTCGAGGTGCTGTCGTGCAGGGCTGCTGGAGCCACAGACGTGCGAAAAGTCTCACTGTCAAAGCACTGCCTTCACAGTTTACTTTGCTATGCGTCGGACACGGTGCTGTTGACACTAATGACACGGCTGTTTCCAGTCGCTGGCCAGGTCGCTATTCAGACAACTATGATCCCTCGTGGTCGCTTGGTATACACTTCTCTCTGTGCCATGAACCTGAAACCGAGCTACTTGAGGCCATCGCATCTTGTGAACACCAGCGCCTGCGAACTCCTCGGAGGGTTGTCAGCACATCCAGTCTTCTGCATTCTGGCGACAGCCTGCAGCCTTAGGTTTGATCTGCTTACAAGACGAGCAGTGCCGCGGATTCAGAAGCCGATCCAGCTGGTGCACAAGCCCTTGGGCGGCGACACACTGTCAGCTCTGCACTTGGAAGTGCCAGCATGCACCGGGCAAGAGACCAACATCGTGAATCTAGAATGCGGCTGCGAACCTCGGCTAATGCTCAGGTTGACATGCTGCACGGCCGGCTTCGTTTCTCCTTCGAAGAAGCCGGCTTCTCTCTTCCTGCAGTAGTCAGTAGAAATTGCTGGGGCCGACAACAGTGATCCACAAACGCCATGAACTACCGTGAAAGCAAGAGGCAAGCTCCGCAGCATCATGATGTTGTCGGACCCGGCTTTCACTTGAGCCCTTTAAATGCTCCGGATAATGAATGGTTCCTTGGTCTACAAATGACCTCCTGTGGCACTGATCCGTGGATTGTTGTGGTTTGCATCGCCGAGTGCGGACTGGCACGGGCAGAAAGAGGGAATATCGCTGTCCTCACACCTGTAAGTTCAATGTCATGTCCTCAACTATCAACAAAGACCCGGCATATCAGTTTGTGGGAGTTCTTTCAGAAGTGGATGCTTTGCGTCACAAGTAGGTGAAAGGTTGCTTCACTGCTAAGCTTTGTCAGCCCACGAATGTAGTTTTGGGATGTTTGGGGCTATTTCTTGGCCATTTATCGTCGTTAGCTGCCTGGCCTATGCCTAGTAGCAGTGATTGGTGGCATTTTCTACCTCTCTGTCCTGTGAGCCTGTGCAATGAAACGTCTTCTTTGGTCATGGTTGGCTTTGCCATCAGATGCCTGGACTCCGACACAGGTTTCCCTTGCAGCCGGGAGCTCTGCAGACAGTACTGTTCTCATAACGTGGCTCACGGATGACGATAGAGACGACTTGGCTTCCTGTTCACAAGTCGCGGTGGCCGAAGTCCACGGGCCCATCGATTCGGCTCAGCCACCTGTTCACAGCCTTCAGGTCGTTGGGACGTGCTCGCGCTATTCTTTGGGTTCAGCTCCTGGCCTGTTCGGGAACTACACATCTGGACGGATCCACCGTGTGCAAGTCAACGGACTGGTTGCAGGTAGCAAGTATACTTACACTTTGCACGGCGACCACCCCGAAACTGCACGCAGCTTCAAAACTCTACCGGCATCCGAGGAGCCCGATTCGCCGTCAGACCCACGATTTCCCTTCGTTGTCGGCGTGATCGGCGACTTGGGCCAGACTGCTGATTCAGAGGAGACGGTTAGACACCTGGATGCCGACCGCAGTTTGCAGATCATACTTCATGCTGGTGACATGGCATATGCTGACACAGAGTCAAGAAGATGGGATTCGTACGGTCTAAAGGTCGAACCCCTTTCATCACGATTGCAGTGGATGGTGTGTCCCGGTAATCACGAAATTGAGAGTGATTACTACACAGGGGAGAGCTTCAAGGCGTATGAGTCACGGTTCGCCATGCCAGCAGTGCAGCCCGCTGACTCGCGTCCGTCCAAGACGCAGATTGGGTGCCAGAGTCCCTGGCCGAGGGGGTTGCACCCAGGGGCTGACTGCACTCCGTCGATTTTTTCTGGTACATACGACTGGGGAAACTCCTTCTATGCCTTCGACGCCGGTCCAGCCAGGGTTATTTCGTTGAACAGCTACACTGACACGCGACCGCAGTCAGCACAATACAACTGGCTCAAAGAGGAACTGGAAGCTCTAGCAAGAAGGAGGGCAGCAACACCATGGCTGATTGTGATGATGCACTGTCCTTTCTACAGCTCCAACGTGGCTCATCAGTCTGAAAGACAGACCATCGAGATGAGGGATGCACATGGGTTCGAAGATCTTTTGCATGCGCATGGAGCAGCAGTTGTGATAAGTGGTCATGTGCACGCCTATGAGAGGACCCACCCCGTGTACAAGAACGTCATGCAACCGGGAGCCCCAACTTACATTGTTGTCGGGGATGGGGGAAACAGAGAGGGACATGCCAAAGACTATATGCATCAACCCGGATGGTCAGCTTTTCGCAACGGCTTGGACTTTGGGCATGGACGCCTTTTGATTGTCAACAAGACTCACATGCAGTGGGAATGGCAGACCAACGATGCCACACAGCCACCAGCTTTGAACAAAGAGGAAGCAGAAAGACGTGCAGCAGAGCTGGAGCAGGCTGGTGGAATTTTCAAAGAAGACTCTGCCTGGCGTATGCCCCTCGCTCAGCGAAGTGCAGATGACAGTGTCTGGATCCACAATCCATATAGAGATCCACCTCCACCTCGCCCAAGCTCTGCGAATGCAAGCCTTTGGGCAGTGGGACTCGTTTCAGCATTCGCAGCGTCACTGGTTCTCTTGGTTCTGATTGTGCAGCGATGCCGCAGAAGGTCGACGGAGGCTGTTCCCAGCGCCAATAGCGCGGAGATGCAGAGTGCAGGTTCAAGCAGAATTCTGCTCGAGTCGTGACCATGCGGTACTTTGGGAGTAACATGAGAGATCACAGACCATAGCGTATAGACGACAGCTTTTCAAAGCTGACGATGTTTGCGGTATCCAGAATTGCAAAGTTTCTTTTCTGCTGGTGCTAGCTTCGCTAGAAAAAACGCTCGGTTCCAAGCATGAAGTCGGCGCATGAGCGGGAGAACCGAGTTTCGGCGGTCTGCAGCTTCAGTTTTTGGGTTTCCTCGCAACAAACGCCCTCCTTTTGCAGCCGGCCCAAAGCTTCGTCAGCGCCTCTCACGTCAGATCCGCTCCCCTCGAAGGTGTCTATCTTGTGGTTTGAAATCCTACCGTCTGTGGAGAAGTCAGGCGTTGTGTTGCGAACAGGCAACGCGCGAGGGACCGTGTAAGACTGTAAAAGATGCGGGCACTCTTCTGGCCATGGCCATGCTAGTTGGCCGTTGCGCCCAAGTGTTCGGCATGGTCGGAGACTCAGCTTCTTGAAGCGTTGGTCACGTTGGTCACACGGACCGGAAGGTGGGGATCTCGTCTGAGGATGGGATGCTTCAAAGTCGGTCACACCGTGAAGTGGCTGGCTGGCCTCTGGATCTTGCCCCTAGACATTCCCTGGTGCGAGCTTGTCAGCAACGGGGAGAAGGCAATCTGGAAAATTGGTGCACAAGCACAGACACTTACTGAGACTCTCACATCAACCAGCACCTCCCGCACTGTAAGCATCACCAGCTCCAGCTCTACGCGATCCGTCACCAGCACAACAAGCATCACTTCCACGACTCGGCTGTCAACTACTACCACCAGTTCCTCTCAACCTCCCATTCTACCATCTCGTGTCAGCCTGCTGGTGGAATTTGCTCCCGGTATGGCCGAGAACCAGACGTGCGATAGTTTGAGCTGCAGAGAGGTTTTGATTCCTGCGGGGCTGCCGGTTCTGATACTGCAGCTCCAATCTCCAGATGTAAATTATGACTGGGGGATCCAGCCCCAGTTACTCGTTACTAGAGGCCAGCTCACCATGCGATCGGCAAGAGCCGGGGCTTGTGTTGAGGAGACATCATCTGTTCATTCGGGCACGTACCTTCGACTGCTGCCGGGCAAATGGGCAGATGGAGGTGTGGATGCCACAGTGCAAAGTGGTAACTTGCATCCTTCATCCATTTATATGCCCTTGATTTTCAAGGAGGGCGGTGACTATTCTCTTTGCTTTACTGAGGATGCGATGTTTGGTTTGGGTGGTCGTGTCGACCTTGTTCCCATCACGATACGAGTGCGGGGTGCATACAACTTCGCTTGTGGCAGCTCGCCATGTCTATCTGAGCGTTCTCAGTACTGTCACATCCTCCAAGCTTCCTACAGTCCGGCAGGTGCTTGTCAGGTGACTTTTGATCAAACAGCAGAGCACTCTTCGGAGCAGGGGGAGCAGGGAGTACTGGGAAGTGTTGAGCAGATGCGAATATCGTGGTCCGATCCATGGCAGATCACCCACGGCTCCGATGGTACTGTCTCGGCTGTGGAAAATTTCAGTTGTCAGAGCCGGTCTCAGACAGAAGCTTTTCTGTGCTTGAATGCAGATCGTTGTGACCTTGGAGACGACTCCGTCCCACTCAACAGCCAGGCACTTGCATCCCTTCCTCGTGCACGTGGCGATTTGGCGAATGAATCCTTCAAAGCCTACACAATTGCCGTGTGCTTGTGTCCTATTGTTGGAAACTGTTTGGAGCCAGAGTTCTTCGTTCAAGAAGTCGGCGTCGTGCACTTTTTCGCTGCATTTCTTTGCTTACACTCCGGAGATGCGGAACATGAGGGGGCTGCATGTGCCGGGTCATTCTCGTCAGTAGTTGCGTTCTATCCGATTCAGATACATGTGCTTTGCCCTGCCGATGTGTGTAAGTCGGTTCCGGACCTGACTGGATCCCGCGTGAAGCTCACATCCCCATCGCCTGATAATTTCCGTGCCAGCTGGGATCCCAGCACGGGCTGCCGGACAGCTTTGCAATCGCCCTTGCAGACGCAGCCACCCAATTGCTTGGATCCATCCCATTGCACGGTCTCCGGGGGGATTCGCCAGGATCTAAAACGCTTCGGAGAAGGACCAGAGGGTCCTTTCAAGTTTCTGGGTGATCGACCTTTGCATGGCCAAAGAGCGTTCCACTCTGCATTCTATTTGGATATTTGTTTTTGCTTGTACGACTGCAGGAGTAGGCTCGCCGTCCCGAGCTATTTCAAAGTTGGAGAGATGTCCATTCTTCCGTTGCGCTTGCTTGGTGCTAGCCTCCTGCTGCAAATTCCACGAAGAGTCGGCGCAGTGCGCCTGCAGAGGTCGATAGACACTTCAGCGTCTTTTCAGCCACCTCCGGAGTCCATTCCCCCAGCAGGGACACGACAAGCCTACTTGAAGCTTCTTGGAGACGATGGGCATCAGGTGCTTGATGAAGAATGCGGTCGCACACCGTATGCTTCGTTTTTGAACCAGTCCTCAGCAGAATTCTTCCTGCTAGCAATCTCCAACAACATCTCGTCTGAGCTGAACGAGGCCGGGATTCAGGAAAGATTCCGAGGCCAGCCAGACATGGCGAACACTTCCCACTTGGCATTCGGAGGTGGCGACAGTGAAGGCATGATGTTTCTGCGCCCAGGCCGCGTGGCAGTTTGCTACTGTGGAGTCGAGGAAGGAGGTTGCCCACTCGCGTTCTGGAGGTTGTTGACGCACTTGACAGTACGAGGTCCTAAAGTTTTGCAGGACCTTACACCATATCAACACTGGACCGTAAGCTCAGATGTGGTATTCAGTCTGCAGCTTCTGGGATGGGGTCTTGTAAACACGGATCAGATCTTGATCCTGCAGCCAGGGGCGTCTTGCACGGAAGATGTGCTGAGACTGGAAGACTCCGTTTTGCGAAGTTGCCCGAAGAACTGCAGCGAAGCTGGGGGTCTTGAAAGCAACTCTAGTGACAGTTCCGGTATACTTCTCCACGTTCTGAGCGACAGCAGCGTTCCTTGCGGTGGAGCAGCGGAAGAGCTTGGTCTTTGCCCAGACGTTTTTGTTGAGGCGATCGAGGTGCATGCCTGAGCCGTTAGTTGAGGTGTCTATGGGATTTTCGAGCTTTTCACACTCAGGTTCGCGAAACAGGGACTTTCGTGTCCTTCAGCTCTGCACCCGGGCTGGTGACCGGGGATGTTTTGAGCCTGGGCGAACAGGCAGCCTGCTCCACGGCAAGCCTTGCCAATGGGGCGTGCACTGTCGAAGACGAAGAAGAACTCCGAGGCGCGGAGTGGAGAAACGCGACGGCCCCGTACGAGTAAGCAGTCGTTTGTTTAGCTGCACAGCCGCTACGAGTTCTAGCTCGATTCAGTCATGGCCAGCACGGGCTGCAGGCATTCTTTAGTCCTTGTTTCGGTGTTCCTCTGGCATCTCTGCCACGCCCTACTGCTTTGCGCAAGATGGGCAGGTGTCCTGGCTGCTGCGGGATCGTCAAGTGGAGCCGGTGATCATGACTTCAGTGGCTTCCCCGGTGATTCGCACTATCTTGTGGGAAGGCTCCGACTGTATCACTATAACTAGATCCCGGTGGGTACAGCGAGCTGAGAACGCGCTTCACATCTAGTGCAGGACAGCCAGGTCCACTCCGGACGAGCAGACTTTCGTGCTGGATGCTGTATGGCCTTCTTCACGGTTGCCTGTATTCGAGACCCTCGGATGACCTACAGCCGAGTGGGCATTGTTGCATGTGCTTGTGCACCAGCGCTCGGCGGCTCAGGATCTTCGGTGCCGGACAGTGGACTCGGCATAGCCAGGCGGAAACAGCCAGGGAGCTTCGAGCTACACATGCAGCAAGTCAACTGCCTGTGCGGGCCTCGGCGCTCGGGGTCTTGCTGGGCAGAAGGCTGGTCGGGGCCTCTTCAGGTCTGCTGGAGGCCTTGGAATGGCCCAGCTGTGATGGCTGGCAGTCTCACCGTGGAGGAGCCAGCTGAAGCAGATTGTCAGATTTTCCTGACGGCCACCGGGAGACATCAAGCTGCCCCGGTCCTGACCCTACTACCATTTCCAGTCCTTGCTTCGTGCGCACGACAATGCACTCATGTCTCACACACTCGCAACAGGTCTTGATCACATACCGCACAACCGACCTTGGCGGGCAGGAGGGCGAAGTGAGCCAAATGCGCGATTCGCCCTGCAGTTTGGTTTTGTTGCCTGCGCACGCTAGCCATGGCTGGTCGTGCACCTGACGCACATGCCCTTGAAAAGGGAGAGTTTCGCAACCTGAGGCCTGGAGTTCCCGACTGCATCACTGCTCGGTCTTCGACTCCCTGCAGCAAGTCTTGCAGATATCGAGCAGACTGTAGCAGCGATGGCGATCTTTGACAGGAAGAGCAACAGACGATACCGACGTCATGGAAGAGCTTGCTGGAGAGAATTCCGCCGAGGGGTCGAAGCAGACATGGTGCGGCTTTCTTTTCAAGGCTGGTTTCAGCCAGGCAGTTCGACTGGACATGATTTGCTGGCTGAAGGAGATCGCATCAGACGACGTGGATGGCTTTCCACTGCCTCATGGGTGTTACTTGCAGCGTGCGAAGCTCTCATCAAATTGCCCTGCTAGCCTTCACGCTTGGCAGGTGTTGGAGTTTGATAGCTCCTGCCGCATGCTTGTACTGTGGTCTCCATCCCAGGACTGCAGATTCATGGGCTGTCGGCCTGGTATTTCGCCCTGGTGTCATGTTGAAGCCGCAGCAGCGGTACCACATGGTCTTGAACGGTGTCATCGGGCAATTGGCGCAGAAAGGGTTGCTTGCCGAAATCTTGTAGCACCAAGTCAGCAGCCTCGGGGCTGTCACAGCCCGCTGCCTCGATCCCAGGGATGATGTGCTTCGAGTACTTGCGCCTCGTCTGGCCCGTATAGGCCGTTTGCAGTTGCAAGTATCTTTGCATCTCAAAACGCTGCTCTTGACAGGAAGCACCCCAAGAAAAGCCAGTTTCCTTGTAACATGTCGGTATCTGACTGGGTCTGACTCGTCATTGTTGTGCCGGCCACATCCAGGTTATGAACAATCTGGAGAACAAACCTTTCCATGTGGCCGAGCGTGGCCGCTGCCGTCTACAGACCAGCCCTCAGGCCGGAGGTCGATGCGGTTAATGCGTCAAAATTCAACACGTCCTGGTCTAACAAGTGGCAACGACACATCAGCTGGAGTCGCAACAAAATTGCAGGAGCCAGCAGCAGCTGCTGGTGAACCAGACTTGCCGCATGGCGTTCAAGATGATCATTGTGGATTGTGGCGCATCTTGCATGTCTAATCGCCTTCCGGACCTGAGGCAAAACTGTCCCATCCTTGGAGGTGCAAACGGTCGCTGGGCTCATCCAGGCTCTGCAAAGACACGACCCCCGAGCATGGTATTGTGTCTTGCTGAGGAATTCTGGATTTGGGATCTGGGCTCGCTACATTGCGCTTGCAACCGCAAGCGAGCAGCGCACTTCGAGCAATCTCAGCTTCCAGTCATCTGAGACTCTTCCTGTGGCCCCTCATGGGATACTCAGCTGACTGAAGTTGAGCTCTGTGCGACTGCAACGGCTCTGAGAATTTCAGGATGGCACCTCCGAACGGGCGAGTGTGATGCCAAGTGCATTGATCACACTGGCTTCTGTGGCCTTGCGGAGATGTCTTGCAGCAGTTTCGCGGTAAGCACGACGTGGACTCGGCCCAATGCCGTGCCACGGATGGATTTAGCCTGCAGGGAGAGTTCTGCATAGTTCAATTTGTGCTGGAAGCATGCAAGGGCCGGCGCACAGGTGAGAGCTTCATGAGTTGCACTCGTCCGTGTCATCATCTACCTGACTTACATCCTGTTTCCCAGGTAAGGATGACACTGCCGAGTGATCCGCATCTGCATCTTGAGATCCCATGCCTATCACATTGATGCAGTTGCAGAGACAAGTGTGCAAAGTTCGCTGGTAAGGATCTGGCCGACATTTATGGGACCATCCAGAACATCTTTGAGATTTCCAACCTGGCGCCACCTACAGGAGGGCTGTTCGCCGGACGCTGCGGCATACAGATCAGTTTACCCAGCGATGTGGCTCCGTCCTACAGTGCCTAAGCTCTATGACGCTATGAATTGCTCAGTGCCTTGATCTTCTGGATCCACGTGCTGGTATTGCGCGTCACGAAGCTGAGGTGCTTCTTCCGGTGATTTCATCTACAGGAGACTGGGCTGACTGGGCTTGGCCCAGGCTTGCAGTAACAGCGATTTGCTGTCGGACTGATTTGGTAGCGCGGCATGCCAGCAGGAGCCCCAGCGCCGTGGCTGGTTTGCTCAGCACGGCTGGAAACGAACGGCCTTTCCAAGCGCAAGAAAGTCGCTTGGCAAAAGCCTCACTTCTAATCTGTCGTGTTGATATAGCGATAGGTTATTGTCTTATTGTTGTGTTGCACCGCTCCTGGAAGGCAACGTTCTCTACGTGAAGATCCGCTTGGGAGCGACTCTGCTTAGCGAGTTCACCGACTTCGAAGCTTGCTTGCAGCTCTTGCAGCTCTACGCTCTTTGTCTACGGATCCTCTAGGGCGAAGGGTGGTCCAGGGGTGGTCGTGCCGCCAAGGCCGCGACGCTGGAAATTCAGACTCCCATGGGCTACAGATGTTCTGCGGCAGAGGTTCCAGAAGCGCTCACGGCCCTCGTCGATCAAGGATCTTGGTTATGCACTTCTCTTCCCTCTTCATGCTGTGGTCTGTTTGGAGATCTTGTCAGGAAGCCTACTTGGCAGTCTCCAGGAAGATGGTTGGAGCAGCGGATCACGGAGCTGTTTCTTCAACCTTCGTGCCGGATTCGCTATTTTTGCGGGCAGCTCCTTTATGGTTCGGCTCAGAGTTAGGAACCCCACAAGCCCTCTTCCGGGCGATGATCCGATGAACGTATGGCATCTCGGTCTCGAATCCATGGGCTCCTCGCCTTTCACCCGACGCAGCAAAAACGTTTCCGATGCGTTCCTAGTATCTCAGCAGCTGTTTGGGGCGAACTACACAGCCTCCATTGCCGTGCTGGGCCGTCTGACAGATGTCTCGCTGCAGCCGCAGAGCTATCAGCCCGCGCTGCTCTCGTTGCAGCCAGGTGATGCTTCCCTCGCTGGCACCATTCTCGAAGTTTTCTTGAGGACCGCACAGATGCTCCCTGCAGGTGGCACGGTTGTGCTCCAGGCTCCTCCTGGTTTCGATTTCGGTATCGCCTGCGATGTCTCGGACCTTCCCAAGGGCGGCCACTATTATTCGAAAGGCAGGGCTGGAGAAGTGACAGGGCGCCTTCCGTTTCTGAGCTGCGCCGGGCAGCAGAGTCAGCAGAGTGAGGCCTTCCACGGCTTTGATGCGGCTCGGGTGAGTTTGGAAGAGCGCCTTTTTGTTGGTGAAGCGTACGGATTTCAGATCCGGGTAGTTCCGCCGATTCTCGGCTTCGCGGCAGACGGCGACTGGTCACTCTTTACAGAAGCGGCTGCCGGGCGGATGGATGGCAGTGTCGCAATATCCTCTGCAAATGGTGGCTCCTACCAGCTCTACTACCGAGAAGTAGCTTCAATGCAAGTTCACATCTCTGACCTGAAGCCTCGCGAGTTGACCGGAAAGGAAGCAGTGCTTCACCTACTCTTCCGCCTTGGCGGAATTCCTCTCAACAGCAACTCAGTCGCGAGTGATTGCTTGGTAGGAGATGTGCAAGCTTGTTGCAGCTGGGCTTTGTCGACACTGAGGCGTCTTGAGATTGACGGTGCCCGTTGGTTTCATCTTCAACTTCCCTGACACGAGCTTCATCTCATCCGCAGGAAATGCTTCTGTTACATCGCTTGAGGAGGCACTTCAGGTGCCGGGTGCCACTGTGGACTGGCCGGCAGGACGCAGTTTCTCATTGCCAACCAGATGCAGCGTGATAGTGGCGGTAGATGACGATAGTGACAATGCTGCCCCGAGGACTTCCTCAGCAACACCTCAATGTTCTGACTTGGTCGAGTGCCTTCTACAATCCGGTGGAAACGCAGCTAAGTCGCGTTCTGCAGACACGTTCGTGGGTTGGGAGATAATGGGGCTGAGGGCCTCGAGGAATTAACGTTGAGGGATTGGGGTTTGGGCTTAGGGTTCAGGGACTAGAAGAGCAGGACATCGGCTTGTCAGCACGTTGTCCACAACTTGCACAGATGCCCCCTACAGCCAGGAAGTGGTATCTCCAGAAACAAAGACAACAGACAGACAGACAGACAGACGGCCGACCAGGCAGGCAGGCAGGCAGGCGGACAGAGACAGACAGACATGGGGAGACTCTCTCTCACACCAACATCCCCTACCTTCAGTATCATTCAGTGTATGGGCGTAGAAAACTGGAGCACGCAAGGTACGGTTTCTTGGCGCCTGTGGCTGTTCCGTCAAGAAGCTCGACTCAGTCCAGCCATTCCTTCGTTTTGGAAGTGGGTTATGATGAAGAAGCAATGGCTGCAAGCTGGGAACTCCTCCGCACAACAGGATGTGCCTTCCATTGCCAAGTAACATCTTCGGAGTTGCCATTTGAGTACTCTGAGTCGCTTGCTGACGCGAGTGCATTGCAGCGCCTTCGCGAAATCTGCCGCGAAGCCTGTCTGCTTCGACATGGCTGTGTGTCTTGGACTTCAGCTTGTCGGCGCTTGATTCTCGCGTGGTGGAGAAGCTACGTGAAGCTTGCCCCTCAACCCTGAGGCTGAGATCGAGATCACATTTACAAGCTCCGATGCTTCGTGTTCCCTCTGCTCCTACTTGTCATGTGGCTTGATGAAATTCTACAACTGAGCAGTGCTGCCTTACATGTGATTGCCGCTTTGAGGTGAACATGTCGAGAGATTCGATGCCGAGCTCCATGTGCTTGTGTCATTGACTCGACCCGCCGCCTCTGTACGGCCAGCTCCGCTAGTTCGAGCGCTTTTGGATGGTGAGGCTACATGGGGCACCCGAGCAAAGCGACACTGCAGGAGAGTTCGACATGCCTGCGAGGTGTCCTTTCGCACTCAGCGCGTGGCAGCAGTGAGCGTGGTGCGTTTTCGAGTCCGACTGGTCACAACTGTGCCAGCTCCACGAGGAGCCTTGCTCATTCAAGGCCCAGAGGCCGACACGCTGAATGGCATGTTATGCCATCTGCCATCTGCTGCACTAGGAACTGCTGCGCAACACCAGACTTTGCTCAGGGCTTCTTTTTCTCGGAGCAGTGCCAGCCGGTCGACGTCCCTCCTGAGACCTTTGACCGCTTTGCTCTTCGAAGCATGGGACACTCGGCTCGACTGGCTTCCAAGGGCTTGCGGTTTCAGAGACACTGCCAGTGCGGGGCTGCGTCTTGCGAGGCGATGGAGGAATTGGGTGCACGTTTTTCCGTCTCTCCGGTGTTCCTCGTATTCAGCTGCAGCCTGGCACCTCCAGCCTCCTGGCCGGCCTCTACCTCTTCGAGCTTCCGGTGCAGAATCCGGCTCCGCAGTCGCAGTGATTCTATCCCAAATCCGAGGGCTACTTTTCAGAGCGCAGCCAAGGTTTCGCTCAGCACCGGAACTGCAGCTCGGTCTGCAGAAGTTTGCGGCGAGTGTCGTGGAAAGCATAGTGTTTGCGAGACTGAGGAGTTGAGCTCGCAGTGTCATGGCCTCGCCTGCTCGACTTTCGAGGATTCTGGGGAGATTGTGAAGTCTCGCCCTGGCTGTGGACTCAGGTGGATCTCTGCAGTGCTGGTCCTTCACGACTGTGGAGGCGATCCCGCCAAGACGCAACAGAAGCCAGTCAGCACCGAACAGAATATCCAGTTTCGCAGCTGAATCTGTGTATGGACTTGCGTCCTTTTCAGACTTTCTCGGGCAGGATGCTTCTGCCAGCATCCTCCACGAGCTAGACCAACGTCTCGTCGTCGCTTCTCCTCCTCTTTTGGAGATGCCTGCCTGGATCGAGAGCAGACAGCGAGCCGTGCTTCTTTGCTTTTCTGATCAGCCTAGGAAGATGGCGCTTGCCGGATTGCAGGAGGTATCGGTCGTGCAGATCCTATGTGGCAGACAGACGACATCGCAGTTCTTTGCTGATTACGCCCTCATCCCCAATCCCCAGTAGCACGAGATGATGGCCAAATAGATGCCGAGCACAGGGGAGAGTGAGTGTACGAAACAGCTTCTTCCAAGCTCCAGATCTACTGCTACTGTATGATTGGGGAACACCATGTCTAGAGTATTCAAGAGGGGCTTCACATCGTATAGCATGGCATGGGCCATGTGTTCGCAAGCGAGGAGAGTCGCAAGTGATCGAAATGATCAACCTGATGCTGCTGCTTGACAGGAGCTTTAAGTCCACATAGGCTAATATGGGACGCTTGCAGCTCTTTTGCACTTCCTTTTGCGCTTCCTTACTTCCTTCGTTTTAAAATGTCTGTCAGGTGAACAACCTGATCTTCTTCTTCGCCCTCAAAGTGCAACTAGTCCAGAGCACAGCAAACATCCAACTGACAGCTCCAGACGGCTTCGTCTTCTCTGATGACTGTTCAGAAGGCGGGGTTGTTGCAGCAAGCGGACCCTGCAGACACCAAGACTCCCCATGCCAGGTTTCTTTGTGTCCGAAGATGCTGTTTTTGGAAGTGGGCAGACATTTCCCACTGGCTTTCATGCACTTCCTGCCGGGTCAACCGTGCAGTGCATCGGCAGGGGGGAGGTTGCAGAAGCGACCCTGGCGCCAGCCTTGCTCGCCGCCAACACCAAGTACGCCTTCCGAATTCGAGTGACGAATCCACCGGTGCCACCATCCTTGAACCCTACCTGGAGCTTCACCCTGGCAAATGAAGCAAGTGAGCTTTTCGATTCCTTCCCACTCTGGCAGATCCAGGGACTCTTTATTCCAACAGCAGTGCCGGCTTCCGACGTGAATGCTCAGGCTCGTTTTGTGGCTGCAGGGGACTGGGGAAGCCTCTTATCTTGGCTTCTAAGTCGTGTAGAGCTACAGTCCTCGTAGAGCGGAACGGCATGGCCCAAGCAGACATTTGGATGGCATTGCAAAATATAAGAGTAAAAAAACCGGAGCTTGGCTGTTGACCTGACCTTCCGAAAACCGCACGGATGTTCAGCAGCCCCTGTGACACTGTGCAGGCCTATCAGCATCTCGGACTCAGAACCAACACTGCAAGCATGGTGAGATGTCGTTCGTATCGGTGGCCGATACGCAAGGGGCCGCGGGCCATTGCTTGATTGCATCTGAGGTCATGTTTGTTTGTTGCAGCGAGTTCTCTGCAAATGCCACCAGTGCGGGTTCGATTCCAGCCACGAAGCGCTTTCCAAGAGTTGCAGGTAGAGGCTCCTCAAGGCCCAGCTGGCCAACCTAATCACTGCAGTGCACGTTGGAACCATTCTTTTGTTTGTGTTGAGTGACGTGACCAAGAGAGAGCTGCACCGATTCCGCAACCGTTCGCCTGCGCACGCGGGCCGGAAAGCGAAGCATACCCGAAATTGCAGCCTTAGCCAGAATCGCACAGTCCAAAACATCGAAGGAAGGTCAGGCAACTAACGGGGCCAGAAGGTAAAAGATGATCAAAAGGTCTCTGAATCTGCCTTGGCATTGCGGACCGGCATTTTAGATTCCATTGTTAGTATGTTGGCCGCGGGGAGTATACAGATGCACAATCCAAACGGATACCAAATGATTTCGATTTCCATTATAGCGGGCGGACGAAGCTACGGATTCCTACATGAATGGCTACCATTTCAATCAATCTTGCCGCTGCAGAATATTACTAGCTCTCTCCTCCCCCCTCAAACGCAATTCCCGCAACCCTTCAAAATACGCCATAATAATGGTTGCTATTTCCACTGACATGGTCTCCATTTTCCCTCACCTGTGGCCTTCCAACATACACGACGCCGAAATGGTTTCCTCCTCAACTACGTCGCGGCCCTTCTCCTCTTCAACTATGTCGCGGTCCTTCGAAGCAGTGGATCGTCAAATGGTTTGTCTTTGATCAGTTGGGGAGCCTCCCACATGATGATGTCCAGCTTCAGTATTCCGATATGCCTTCTTTTTTGGCCATGTACTCCCTGGCCCCCCCAAATCAATTAAAGGATCCAGAAACGGTGTCTGTTTCCACTGTTTGGGGCACTACTGTGCTAGTAATTTCAGAAAGAATCACAGTAATCATCAGCTCCTGCTCCTGCTCCTACTCCTATACTCCTACTCCTACTCCGCCTACTACTACTACTACTACTACTACTACTACTACTACTACTACTACTACTACTACTACTACTACTACTACTGTTACTACTACTACTACTACTACTACTACTACTACTACTACTACTACTACTACTACTACTACTATGCCTACGGCTACGGCTACGACTACAACTGCGACGACGACGACTGTTACTACTACTACTACTACTACTACTACTACTGCTACTACTACTGCTACTACTACTACTACTACGACGACTACTACTACGACGACTACTACTACTACTGCTACTACTACTACTACTGCTACTACTACTACTACTACTACTACTACTACTACTACTACTACTACTACTACTTACGACGACGACGACTACTACTGCTACTACTACTACTACTACTACTACTACTACTACTACTACTTACTAGTACTACTACTACACCTACGACTACGACTACGACTACGACTACGACTACGACTACGACTACTACCACTACTACTACTGCTACTAACTACTAACTACTAACTACTAGCTACTAGCTACTAACTACTAACTACTAACTGCTAACTGCTAACTGCTAACTTCTAACTGCTAACTGCTAACTGCTAACTACTAACTACTAACCACTAACTACTAACTACTAACTACTAGCTACTAGCTACTAGCTACTAGCTACTAGCTGCTAACTGCTACTGCTAACTGCTAACTGCGAACTGCTACTGCTACTGCTACTGCTACTGCTACTGCTACTGCTACTGCTACTGCTACTGCTACTGCTACTGCTACTGCTACTGCTACTGCTGCTGCCTCTGCTACTACTACTACTACTACGACTACTACTACTACCACTACTACTACTACTACTACTACTACTACTACTACTACTACTACTACTACTACTACTACTACTACTACTAGGTAAGAGGCCCTCCTGTGATCCAGGTTTCTTGGTTATATGTCTCCTAATTATCGGTCTGGTGGGTAGGAATTAGGAGATCAGTTTCGCGATCGTTGGAACAGACTTGATCTATTTTATCCGTGGCCATTTTGGCTCAAGCCGATCGGGCCATACCGAAAAATCGGCGTGGGAGGTGGAAGTGAATAGGCACGCTCGATCGCAGCCATGTCGTTCCCTCCCGCTGGCTTTCATCAAGGTCGGCAGATGGCGGCTCCGATGGCCCCACAGTTCGGGCTGCCCCGCCGGCTTGGTCAGCCTGAGAATCCGGGCAACTGGGGACACTACGTTCCAGGCGAGGCAGAGGCTCCCGAGAATCCCGCGGCTCCAGCTGCCGCATCCGGCGATTGGGGCTCTGGAGGCTGGGGTCGCGACGATCGTCGTGGACGTCGTGACCGCGGGGCTCCTGCTGCCCACAACCCCTTCGCTGTTCAGCGGCCTGAGTTCGTTCGCCAGGTCGTGGTCGAGGAAGAGGACGAGACCCAGAACTCGCTCCTCGTCATCGACAACCGCGACGACCGGGTGATCTCCCCGTTCCAGAACTGGCTGGCCGAGGAGATCATCTCGAATGCCGCCAGCTCGATCAATGTGCTGACGGAGCGGGACTCGGTCATGCCCCCGAACTCGGGCTACCACTGTTCGCTGTTCGCGAACTATACGCTCGATGGCATCAAGGCCGTTCTGCTCTTTTCGATGTCTTCGAAAACAGGGGGACCATGTGCTCAGTGGGACTCCTACGCGAGTCGGGCGCTATCGCACCCGGCTTTCCAGCCCTTCACTTGGCCGGTGATGTTCGACACCTCGGCCACCTATGTGGATGTGAAGGTCTTCAATGGAAACGAGGTCCTATTCCATTGGGTCTTCAGGGGCTACCGCTCGGACTCGGATCTTTCTGTCCAGCAGCAGTTCTGCGACGAGGTGTTGATCCGGTCAGCCAACGAAGGATGGTTCCGACCCTCGATCGTCATCTCGGTCTTCGTTGGATGGAAGGTCTCCGTGACCTCGTTCGAGGTTGGAGCCCGAGTCTACACGATCGGCCCGAGAGGAGCAGTGATGGCGAGCGACCATGCCATGAGCACCTGTGAGCTCAGGGTGACAGAACGATCGTCCCGAGAAGGCTATGGGAACGACGCTGATCGTGTTGAGTTTCGGTTCCGGGACGCCAACAACCGGATCGATCTCAAGTGCGGGAGGACTTCGGTGCCTGGCACGTGGCTCACAGTCAGCCACATCTCGGGCCCCGCTCTGATCAGCACGATCCAGGCCTGTCGGACCCAGCGTGCTCGCGTGGAAGGTCCAGACCACATCCAGCAGTTCGCGCAGCTGTCTGCGGTGATCGCCCCCTGGTACCACAGCGCGTTCGCCCACGAACAGGTGCAAGTGGGAACTGCGACAGACGAGTTCCCGATGGATCATGGGAACTTCCACGTGCGGGCTAGATCTAAGCTCAGGGTCTGCCCACTGGAGTTCGTCCGGCAGGAGGCGCTCGCCCACCGGTCGCACGATGAGAACAACGCCGTTCGAGCGCGGAACGGCCCCCCGGCTCTCATGGAAGAGGCGGCTCGGCAGGCGGTTCAGCAGCTGGGCTCCTCGGTCACTTCGGCGCTCACCAACATGCCCACCTCGGCTCAGCAGGTGTTCGACCAGAGGGTGAGCACTGTTCCGGTGCCGGAGGAGGGCCAGCTCGGCCAGGAGCAGATCGCCGAGGAGGTCGTCACCGATGCCCGCGATCGCATGAGGGCCGACATGCGATTCTCGCGCACGTCGGCTGCGATCACGCCTCAGGTTTTCACCGACGTGCTCCAGCACCGTGAGCAGGCGGAGTACGAGCGGATCAGCACGGTCAGGGTGGAGGAGACGGGCCAAGAGATCACGGCTTCCCCCTCCTCTACGACCACGGTGCCGAAGGCGTTCGCCCCGGCCTACCCGCCAGCCAGATCGTCAACGGGGCCCTACACGATGGACAATACAGACTAGTTGTCGATCGAAGCCTAGGTGATGGTCGGTTTTTGTGCACGCTCCTAAGAGAGTGGTGCGCCGCGCGACCGAAGCCTCCTGGCGGATCAGCCGGGCTCTTCCGCGGAACAAACATGCCGAGCGATCCTCTCGGCGCGCTAGATCCCAGCGCATGTTCTGCCGGAAGTGAGATTGATCAATACCTGTCTCAGGCACGGCGCTCGGTTACCATTAGCAGGCACGTGCGATCGTTCGTGCAGCTGTTCAGGCCCAGCATGGATAGGTCCGTTCGGAAGATCCTATCCCTCCCCCTGTTCGGGGATGAATTTTGCCAATGGTTGGTGGATCTTCGGATGGCTCAGTTCGAGAAGCTCACGGCTGTTTCGGACGGGACGATCGCTGAGTGTGTGCAAGCATTCATTGATCTTGTCCCTGCCCTCGAGGAACTCCACACGCCAGATCGGCGGAAGAACGAGGAGGAGCTCGGCAGGTGGGTTCCGTCGATCGAGCTGTTGTTTGTGCTGGTTCGTAGCACGGCAGCAGCGGGCTGGGCTGATCTGGCCACTGATCTGGGATTCGGCTTGGCTGAAGCTCCGGTCGTCTTCGGGCGATCGCCACTGAAGTCGAAGGGGACTGGCAAGGAGCCTCCTATGCCATTGCCGCTCGCCAAGAGGCCGCGGGCGATCGAGCCGAGGCCTGAAGATCCGCAGGCATCGCTCAAAACCCGTGAGCTCGGCGAGGCCCGAAAGTGGGGCATGAGGCTGAAAGCGATCGTGGAGAGGTGCGGCGAGCACGCCGCGATCGCGGGCAACCCGAAGCCGGGATCACCCCTGTCCCAAGATGAGATGAATGCATTGAGGTTGATCGTCTTC